ATGCGGGTCCTTTGTTTCGCACGTCTCTCAGCTATTTCTATCGATCTTTTTGCCACAGCAATCACCCGTCAGCGGGGTTGATCTGGGGAGCGCAAATCGGCATAGAACCCAGTTAAGCTATGGCTGTAGTTGAAATCACCATAGACATATTTGTTCCCCACCATAGACACCTGCGGTCCAGAGTTTTGCAAATATCTCAGCAACGTTGTGGTTGTATTTCGCTTACTTAGTAACCTGCCATGAAAATTATAGAAGGCAGAAAACAAAACGTTAAACATTGTGATTTCAACTACAGCCATAGCTTAACTGGGTTCTATGCCGATTTGCGCTCCCCAGATCAACCCCGCTGACGGGTGATTGCTGTGGCAAAAAGATCGATAGAAATAGCTGAGAGACGTGCGAAACAAAGGACCCGCATGGTGTGGTGGTGAACGCGTTACTCCCCGGAAAGGACAATAGCGCGTTCGTTCTCCACCATAGACACCTGCGGTCCAGAGTTTTGCAAATATCTCAGCAACGTTATGACTGATATATTTTTCGCGACTACATTGAGATTACAAGTAAGACTTTGTTCAACCAGTATTCAAAATGTAATTGAGATGATAAACATGATTCGCAACCGCACTCATTCATGGATCTGACTACTTTCTTCGATGGTCGCTGCTAGTGGATGAAACCACCGGGAAGAGTGCCCAAGCCATATGTAGGTGCGGTCTATCTAGTGACTAAAGCTATATGATAATCCTAACTTTATTTGGCTTATTCCTCCTTATTTTGCTCGTTTAGTTTAACTAATGTTTATTACCTCCCAACAGTTTACCGCCTCATCGTGGCTGGGTGTTCCTGGGTGTCCGGCTGCCATCTGCAGCGGTGAGGATTCATCCCCCAGCATGGCCTCCCAGGCTGAGAAGAAGTCCGGCGTTTCCATCAGAAAACCCAGCTAAAAGTAAACTAATACCAGGATCCACCACCAGCCTAGTATCAAACTAGTTGTGTGGTGGCAAATCTCACTCCGATCCACAAGGACGGCGGCTACCTATGGCAGTTATGACCTGAGGAAGACTTTGGCTAGGCTGACTTCGGGACTCCAAGAAACTACAATGGTTAAACTACTAAAACTCCGAAAAAATGGAGATTGTACTGTGGCACTTACAATCAGCGATGACTGGCCATCCAAGTACCCAAATAATGTTTATTCCCCATCCATCGTCCAAAGTCCGTAGATTTACGTGCTACACAATGGCAGTCTCCTTGGCGGTAACAATTGTTTCTGTTAATCTCTTCAATCTTTTCTTAACACCATCTAAACATTGCTGGTTATTTTTCATCAGAATTCATAGCTGCTCTTTATGTTTTGTCAAAGTGAGATTAGTTATCTTCATATACCTTTTTTTCATATCTTTCCACATTCATATGTTCGACTTTTTCATATTTATGTGTTTTTCTGCATATTTTATCTTTTTGATTTCTTTTCGTTCTTTTCAACGGTTTCCTTGTAGAGCATGGATTCGAGTGATGCCGACTACGACTCAGTCGCTCAGAAGAACGTGGCCCGTACAACTGCCAATAGTATCGAGATTCTTATGCTTTACTTAGAAACGGAAGTGCGCAGAATTGTGAGTATTCCACTGAGAATTCATTCTGAATCGTCTTGTACCGAAAAAATACTTCCCCATGGTTTCCACATAATTCCTTTATTGTGCATGCTACAGTCGGTATCGCGTGTAGCGCAGTGATCGGGGACCCCTGCAATACACGTGGGATCGATGCCCGCGCTACAGCCCTACCAAGCCCTCCATACCTCCGGGTTCAGCAAATTGGTACCAGACTTGTCTGGGAGGAGCCACCGCCAGCCATTTTAAGAGCCAGATGTGCATTCAATCACCGATGCTTAATTCGAATGCATGGTGAATCCCTCAGGGATTGATCAACGCCGAGAGCTTTATCCTTTATTTTTAGCTTTATTGTTTACTTTCCCTGATCGATTGTCGACTTTTATATCGATTAGTTACGCTGAGGTCTATAGAAAGTCGATGTTTTTAGTTTTTTTGTTTTTGTTCGGAGTATGTTCTTAAGGTCATATGTGCATCAAGGAAAGCTTACTATACTAGATAATTAAGGCCCTGTGCATAGACTCAGTTACCCTGTAGTGTTCTTTAATTTGCGTAAATAAAATAAAAGGATAGAGCTCTTGGCGTTGATCAATCCCTAATGGGATAGAGCTCTTGGCGTTGATCAATCTCTAAGGGATACGCTATGCATCCGACTTCACTAAGTATCGTTGGAAGTGACTGAATGCATATTTGGTCTTTGCAGTGACTCGGGGTGTCCCACCGATGTATCGAGCGAGTGCTGTTATCCTCCCAGACAAGTCTGGTATCAATTTGCCGAACCCGGAGGGATGGAGGGCTTGGTGGGCTAGGGGCGCGAGTATCGATCCCGCGTGTATTGCAGGACGTCTCCGACCACTGCGCTACGCGCGCCCTTTTATGCCTGAATAGTGGGAAGAAAATCTTCGATTACTTCAGTTCTACAGTAAGAACTATACACTACTACTGCAGTAAAATTACTTTTTATAAGTAATATCACAATAATCTTATAATTCTGCAACGCGACAGTTTCTCAAAGACGTTCGGGTTCGCGTTACCTGCACTCTTTTGCTAAATGATTTCGATTATTTTATTCCCTAGTGACTTTCGAGGCTAAACAATGTATTACTGTAAAAAACTGGTCGAAGAATGGGAAAAGCAGGAGCCTAGGTTGATGTGGTGGATAGTAGTTGAACCCTGGAAAGGATAACCGAGGGTTCGAGACCCAGCTAACGTTCTGAGTTTTGTGCGTCTTGGCATCCTCGTGGTTATATTTCACATAATACCAGGCCATGAAAGAAGAATAAGCAGTAAATAAAAGATTAGACATTATTACATTAGTGTGTTTGCACTCTCAGACAAGTGTGGTTCCAACCTGCCGACCTTGGAGAGAGACGGAGGACCTGCTTTTTCGGGACCGCGAGAGAAAAACGAGAACCATTTGTGTATTGTAGGCTTCCTCTTACCGCTACGCTACACGCCGCCTTAAGAACTTTCTAATTCGGGTATATTTATCGATTTCGAGTATTTTAATGTACTGTGAAGAGTTCTTCCTTCATGGTGACTTTAGAGTGGAATGGCCACTTAATATATTCTGATTGTGGTTCTAAATGCGTAAGACCACGTCTAAGAATAGAAGTATCATCAGGTTTCTGTGTTAAATTGACACTACTCGTTGGCCTTGTTTTTTCATTAACGGATCTCCTTCATTTGTTAAACGAATGAATTACTTACTCGGATACTTGGATGGTCTGTCCTCACTGCTTGTGCGGGCTCGAGAAAAACCTCCACTTTTTCAGAGTCTTACTGGTTTAGCTATTGTGGTTTCCTGGGGAGCTGGAAACGAAGAAATACTGTAAAAAATGAAAGCAGCATTAAGAGAACTCTTGACTTCACTTCTAGATTTTAATGAACTGATTAGCTTGGTTTGTAGAACAGCTTGTGACGCAGTAGTCGGAGGCGCCTTGCAATACACATAGGATCGATCTCTGCGTCCCAGGCCCACCAAGCCTTCCATCTCTCCGGGGTGGACAGGTTGGTACCAGACTTGTCCGGGAGGATAGCGGCACCGGCTCCATACATCGGTAGCCCACCGCGAGTCATTATAGAAGCCAGATGTGCATTCATTCAGCTCCAACTATGCTTAATGAAGTTGAATGCATAGCGCATCCCCCAAGGATTCATCAAGAGAGAGCTTTGTCGTTTATTTTATTAACTTGGTTGCACCTAGTTGTTATTATAGAAATATAATGCCTCTTTGATTGCCTGTGGTAACTGAATTTTAAGTATCCAAATGTTATTTGAAACATCAGCTTGTCTTTATTGTCTGTCCGATTCCAGCGGTTCTTCTTACGTGCCTTTGGTGGAAGGATACGTCGCTTCTGCGCTAAATCCGTGCATATTGGTTTTCGCAATGCCATTCTGTTTTTAGCAAATTTCACGACTTTGTGAGTGCAGGTATTTTTTGCACTTACTCTGATTCACTAATTCAAGATCGTCTTTGCATAATCAGAAGAATGAAGCATGTTTCTCCGGATATGACGGAATTAAACGTTGTTGAAGCCATGATATTCAATGCGGTAGGTTGGTTTATATAGAAGTGTTCAAAATACCTTCTTACCAGATGGTCCACAGTTTCCCAGGTTCCTATGAGATCGTCATGGAAGCCACCAAAGTACACTTTTAATGATACTGCTGCAGTGTTAACGACGGACCAGGAGGTTGAGGATGGTTAGTGAGCATTCAGCGTATTTTCTCCAACGAAATGTTTCAAGTACTGCATTGGCATCTAAGTTCAATGATATTTGCTGTCAACTTTCTATTTACTGCCTACTACAAGTTTTCACCGCAAGACATTGCATGGAATTCAAACACAATAATGCTGAGACATTTACAAAAATCCGGACAGCAAGTGTGTACGCTGGGGATGGAACATGCTATTACCCTTTACAGGGCTAACGCGTTCACCACCGCACTATGTGGATCTTTCATCTCGCCTTTCTCTCAGCCGTGTTTTATAGGTGCTATCAGCAACTGCGTTATCATCGGGAAAGGATAATAGCTGTTCGATCAACACTGCAGACACCTGCGGTCCGGAGTTTGCAAATATCTCAGCACCATTGTGGTTCAATTTCATAGAATACTCTGGAATACCCTGCCATGACAAATTGTAGTAGGTAATAAGTAAAGAGTTAACATCGTGATTTCGAGTACAGCTTCAGCTTAACTGGGTTCAGTGCCGATTTGTGCTCCTCAGATCAATACCGTTGACGAGTGGTTGCTCATATCACTTACAAAACACGGGGCTGTCAGGACGAAACGAAGGACCCGCATGGTGTGGTGGTGAAGTTAGCCCCTGGAAAGTGCTATAGTGTGTTCGATCCCAACCGCAAGCACCTGAATTCCGGAATTCTGCAAATATTTATTGTATTTGTTGTTTTTTAAAAACTTCTTCAAAGCTGATACTTTTGCTGTAGCTTCTACGAGCCAGGGTTCTTTTTTTTTTCTTTGAATTCTTTGATGTATATGGCGCATGAAGGTGCATATGCTTCTAACTTTTGGAAAAACAGGTAGCAATGTAGGAAAACTTTAGGGCGTTTTTGTGTATTTGTGAGGTTTTTCGATCTACTAAAGTGTCTCGATTACAGTTCAGCGAAGTGATTGATAAACGTTTTCGTCAGTGAGAACCTAGAATGTCCTCGTTTTCTATTGTTTTTACTTGTAGAACTAAACGTATTAGTGTTTCAAAACCCACTTTCCTTCGACCTCGGTATGACTGATCAATATGCATTTTTTCTTTGACGAGCTTACACGAGGTTGATAAACAATCTATTCTCCGCTAATGTTTCGACGTCTTCATCTTCATTAGAGTCGATGATCTCAGTCGTGGTCCACTAAATGTTTTAGCGTTTTAGTGTTTTCGCTGCCAAATTCATTTGCTTTTAGGTGTTTTTCATGCGTATATGATTCGTTCACCTGCTTGGAGTTTTTTGCCATCCCCAATTTCGAAACCTTATGAACCGAATTTGATAGATTTTCAGGTAAGAATTATATATGTAAAGTATATTGTATATCTCATTGCCAAATCCGTACCCGAAACAATCGAAGGACTCCTACTCAGTTGTATACTTAGTCATTCAACCATCCACTGAAAAAAGCATTTACTATGGATGACGAAGACGAGAGACTTTCTTTGCCGAGTACGATGGTGACCGAACAGGACTTAAAGGTTGGGTATAAGAGACTTTGTTACTTCCTGTTACGTCTTTAAAAGAATATTTGAACCGACTTTTGACCATATAATTTCCTAAATCATTAGAAGACCTTTTAAGAGAAGGATTTAAGATTCAATCGCTCGAGGCACAACTTGAATTTTTGTCCAAGCAGATGCAGGCTTTATTAGCAGGAAAAATACCACCGGTTGCACCAGTACGTTGTCTTTTTCCTATGATTTTTTGAAAAGTTGCTTCTGATATTGATCTGATATGTATTCTGTAGATGGCTTGTGATTTCGATGCATCTGCTTCGGATGACGAAGGTAAAGGCGCGTCCTTGGGTAGTCCCACTGAGATCATAAAGGTGTGGTTTCGTTCTTTCTTAATATCTTTCTAAAAGACTCCTCAATTCGTCGTGGTATCACTGCCAATATTTCAGCAAACGTTTGTTTCTGAAGAAAAAAAGCTGTCTTCATTACCCAATATTTGTCCGCCCGCAGATGCGCCTCCACCTCCTCCACCGCCACCACTGTCGTTGTTATCACTAAACAGTGCTTCAATGCCAAAACTGGAACAGTCGAAAGCGAAGGTACTTGAACTTGGAAAGTCTTCTTAGCCCCACTTTAAATTCACAAAATTGTGAGCAGTTGTAAAATCTATATTTTATTGGACACTTAAGTAACTGGTATACACATTCTGTTAGAGTTCCAGCATTTTCTCCAGTCATTTTGTTGTCCTAAAAATGTCAGTCATGGGTGTGATTTGGTTCATTTTCGTTCACCACTTAAGAATTTAAAAGTATATTCCAGCTGCGAACAAATAAATTTTGCTTGCGCGTGAAACAAGCACGTTGGCCCATCTTTTTGGCGGTCTCTGCAGAAGTCATTTTGATTCGTTTAGATTCCACCACCTTTTTTTACCACATGACCGCTATATCAGGGTTTCTTTCTGAGATGTATATCTTTCGAACAACCGAGGTTGTTGATAATCAACCTTTGATAATCGAAAGTTAGTCTGGATCTTCAGTGTACCAGTTTGGTATTATCAGACGTTTCTGGCTAAATACATGTACGCACTTCTCTATGTGGTTATATTATCTCAAGCTATTTTTCGTGTTTATTGAATGACCCAAGTGCATAGGTATAGTGTCTTCAGTTGGTGATTCATCCACCTTAATCCGTGGTTTACTTCTCGTTGATCTACAGTCCTGTCCTTTCACTTCTCCGTTGACTCCGGCAGGCATTCTCTGCTTTTGTAGTTCGAAAACATTGTAAGTGAAAATCAATCTCTTTATAAATTGTTGCAATCGGCAAACATTTTAATGCTGCAAGCACTGGTATACCTTGCTCAATTAAGTCCGAAAGGATGGCGTTACTCTCTGCTAATAGAAAGGGGTTATGGAGCAGTAATCTCAGTGATCAGGTATTGTAGTACTTGAGGTCATCACTGTTCTCTTTTCTTTGGAGAAGGACACTACGAGACATCCACAGGTTGCGGTATATTACATTTACAAATGTGAGCTCATTTGTATTGTGGTTAGAGGGTATAAGTGGTAGTTGAAAGCTCAAAATAAAGAGAGCATTGGAAAAACTTTATAAAATCACGACTATTTCACCGGAGAAGAGGAAAACTTGTGTCTTCTTTGAAATGGTTCATACTATAGATTGATGACAATTGGTTCTCGCTGGTGTAGCTGTGAGTGCTTAGAACACTGGTGAAAATGTTTGCGAATGCGCTCATTTTTAGCCTGATCCGTTGCAAATGTTTAAACGATCTTCAAATCTGGAGCGTGACGACCTTCCTGTTCGACCGAGCGCAGATGATCTGAGGATGGTGCAGCTCAAAAAAACAAATACTGCTAGGTAAGTCTATTGGGTGGGATTATTATTGATACTGCTTATTTTTTATAAGATGTTCTTGGAGAAGAATACATGACCATTCTACGTGTACTCCTTCCAACGGTTTACAACCTCATCGTGACTGAGAGGTGTTCCTGGGTGTCGGGCTACGATATATAGCGAGGGATTTGTCCGCCGGTAGGGTCTGTCAAGCTGAGAAGAGGTCCGGCTTTTCCATCATGAAGCCTAGCTATGATTAAACCAATACGAGGTTGGACCACCATCCTGGTATCAAACTAGTCGCATAGTGAAAAATCCCCTCTGATCCACAAGGGCTGCGACTGCCTGTGGTGGTGACGACCTGGGGCAGACTTTGGCTAGACTGACCTCAGGACTCCGGGGAACCACAGTGTTTTAATCAACAAAACTCCAAAAAAGTAGAAATTATGATGGGGCCCGCACAACCAGTGAAGACGGGCTATTCAAGTGTGAAAGTTCGAATTGGATTATTTCATTGCACCAAGTTTTGGAAGACGTTTCAGTTCTTTTGATTTTGTTTCATTTTGTGTTGTTTTCAACCTTACTGAAGATGGGAATTACTAATCATTTTTCACAGGTCACCTGGTGGGACACCAATTGCGCGGCACTCTGGGCAGTCCAAAGAGGAGGTTTTCAATTTTGGCTCGCATCCATGCTAGTCTTTGACGAAAAAAACTCTTAAAACTATTTCCAGGGCAGCTACTTGGCAAATGCACTTCGTGAAAAGTTCCGTTCTGTCCAGGAGTACGTATCTGAATACGAAGAAGATATGAGCACAAGCTGGTTAGAGGATGAGCTCTGATACATATATCTACCATCTATATCGAGCAAGCGACCAGTTTATTAGCGTATTTCATTACTCAGCGTTTCCGGAGATTAGGTATTGATTGATTTTCTTGCATCCGAAGTTACTAACTTCCATCACTTACTGCTTGAGTGTTGCTTTGTTTGTTTGATTCATGCCATGTTTGACTTTTATGTGGTTAAGATAAGATGCACAGTTTCATCCTAAACTGTCAGGTTCAGTGACTGCCTAGTGACTTATGTCTGCAATATCATGACATACAGGACCGTTGGGGATTCAGAGGTCAGCTTTTATTTCCGATTATCTAGATTTATGTTAAATGTACAGCAGTATTCACAATTTGTGATTTGTTGTTCCTATCCGGCTGACGGGAATAAAAAGAAGTTCATGTTTTGAATTCTTAATATTGATAAAGGTTTAGTGAAGAACTGTCAGTGGAAACAGTGTATAGAGTGCCGTGTCTTCAGGTTTTATGCTTGTAAAAGAAAGCCTAATCGTTTGTCAAAGTGTTGTGTTGACTTGATAAAGGCAACTGTCCACGTGTCGTCGTGATAGTCAATGAAGAACGACACATTCATTTCGAATCGTTTGAGCATCGCTTTTGCTACTGTTCTCATTTAGAATACGGAAATACAACTTTGGAGTTTACAAAACTTTCACTTATTGTCTACTATTTTTTCATGGCAAGGGATATTGTGTGAAATACAGTTTTGAAAAAAAAAGAGAACTACGAACTCGAGATTTCTTTTTCCAGGGACTCACTTGTTATCCACTACACCATCGAGAGCTTTGCATAATAGTGATGGTTTTCGAGAGTACAATAGGACAGATGACGAAAAAAAACAGTAAAGTGGACTCCAACAGAACGCAAGCGTCCTCGTAGACGACCGCCCAAGCAGTTGGTAGACGTATTTGTTGCAAACGTTAACAGTATAGATTTGCAAATGGCAACGGTTTCAATAGTTTGGAATGGATTTCGAAGAAGTCATCATGTTCCAAGCAAACCGGTCTCGCACCTCAGGCCCACCATGCTCTCCATACCTCCGGACTCCGAAAATTGGTACCAGATACTGGTCTGGGAGGACAAAAGTACTGATTCGAGATATTGGTGGGTGATCGCGAGTCCACTATAAAGGCCGGATATGCGTTCATTCACCCCTAACGATGCTTAACGAAGTCGAATGCATGGCTCACAGCTTAGGAATTGATCAACGACGAAAGTTTTATCCTCTTCTTCGCCTCCGATCGCGCATATTACTGGATTTTTATTACGAGACTTTAAAGTATACATGTAAAGGAATGTGAATACAACATCTTAGTGAAATCCACTTTCTCAATGTATTACTTTTGACTCTGTTAGGATAGGACGATAAACCGTTCGATGTCGATCATTCGTAACACCGCAGAGGTGACAGGTGTATACTTGTCTTATAGAAAGTAATGGTGGATCCTAACGACGTATAAAGTCAGTGCTCTTATTCTCCAAGATGGTCTCGTACCAATTTTCTGATGCTAGAGAGATAGGAAAGGAGGGGTGAGCTTTATTAGTCTAGGGATGGCGATAACCCAAGAATTGAGCAATCAAAGCAACCCTGTTCACTCCATGAAAGTGTCTTGCCGGAAATTTCTAAACATCGTCGTTATACAACAATGTGAAAAAAGTTCTTCGACAAGCCGACAACATATCGCTATGCGGCATTCTCCAGAATGTGTCCGGAAAAAAAAGATATTAACACTGGAATGATATTTCAAAACCGGCCTCCCTTTAACCTCGGTATGATTAATTAATGTGTATTCTTTCTTTGATAAGCCTACACGAGGTTGATAAGCAATCTTTATTTGCGGCTAATCTTTCGACGTCTTCGTCTTCGCTAGAGCCGATGGTTCGAATCGATAGTACACAGTTTGCTTGTGTCAAGGTGGTATCGAGACGAGTCTTCCTCACTGCAGCATCTCTCGAATCAGTCGTACTCACTCGACGATGCCGTTTTATACAGAGCGGTTCTTATCGATAGCGATGAGTGTCCGATGATAACCACTTGTTTTTCCGGACAATCCATCCCGTAGAACTCGGTATCATTCTACGAAGACGAAACCCTCAAAAAGTTAGCCGAAAGTGCTTACTTATCAAGCTCGTGTAAGCTTATCAAAGAAAGAACACATATTAAAATGACAGTCGATATCTCTTGTAGCTACACCATGTTAGCTTTGGGAATGATATTTTTCTTGCAATACTAAGGACTGACGAGATGGAATGAATGCTCACCAATTTCTACGGCCTTTGCGTAAAGTTGAGTTTTTCGGCTGGACTTAAACACAACACTGTTGTCGAAAGAAATGTTTGTTCCGCCAGAGCTTCGAGGCTTATTTGTTGAACCAATCCGTGTGCTCTTCTACTCACCTCCGACATCCTTAACTATATTTTAGCCATGGTGTGATGTCGGGAATAACCCGCATTGTATGCAAGCACATTTACGTATGTATACATGGATGTAATGTGATCTAAACGAATGGTACCGGTTAATTTATAGCACCATAGAAGAAAGCCATCTTTCATATTCACCTGTATTGCGGTGCATATGAGAACTCTAAAAGTTCTCGGCGTCGATCAGTCCCTGAAGGATGCGCCATGCATTCGACTTCATTAAGCATCGTTGGAGGTGACTGAATGCTATCTGGCCTTTTCAGTGACTCGCGGTGGCCAACCGATGTATTGGGTCAGTGCTGTAATCCTCCCAGCAAAGTCTAGCATCAGGTTTGGTGGGCCTAAGGTATCCTCACAAATAGCCGACGTGAAATTCCGCATATGAAACAGATCAGCGCTCGGAATCCCTGCGGATTTGATGTACACCTTAGGTGTTTACTATTTTATTTTTTACTTTACTATTTATTTAATGAACACGCAGCAGAAATATGAGCATCCACAACTCTTCACAAAAAATGAAAAATCGAAACCTACAAAGTGAAGTGAAAAAAGGGAGGAAACCTGTTTACAAAATCAATTATGCAAAATATGTTTAGAAGACTTGACACTTTTTACATCTTATTATACCTATTGTTTCACCGTCAAATACTTAGACATAAACCAACAACTACATTTAATGTGTTTGAGAGTAATAAGGAAACGAGATGAAAACCTCAAAATATGTCAACGCAACGACAATACGCTATAAATTCAACAGAACTATCGAGACAGTTGCAAACTGTAGAAGGAAACCTTTAGTCCTCGCAGAGTGCGACCGTTAAAATCAAGGCAATCAAATTACGTAAGTGAATATTTGCCTTAGCGTTGGGAAGTATTCGATTCAGAGCAGCGCCTTGACTGGCCGAAACGATTCTTCCGGTACCTTGATTTAAGAGCATTATGTTTGAAACACTACCCTACTGTGATGGGGCCTTTACTGTAAAACCAAACATAATTATCTTGTGATCACGAAGTAAGCACTTCTTATTTACTGCCTATTCTCTTTTCACGGCAGGGTATGATGTGAGATACAACTACAATGATACTGAGATATTCACAAAACTCCGGACCGCTGGTGTCTGCGGCGAGAATAGAACATTTATTACTCTTTCCAGGTGCTAACGTGTTCAACACCACACCATGCGTGTTGTTCGTATCGCCTTTCTCTGAACCGCGTTTTATAGGTGTTATCAGCAATCACCCTTCAATGAGAACAAGGCAAAACGAAGGACACGCATGGTGTGGTGGTGAACGCGTTAGCCCCTGGAAAGGACAATGGCGACATTTGATCCCCGCCGCAGACACCTGCGGTCCGGAGTTTTGCAGATAATATATCTCAGCATCATTGTAGTTGCATTCTGTATTCAATAGAAATCGTAGGAAAGCAAAAAACGGAAATTCCATCTCATAAAAAGGTCCTGAATAACTCATATATATGTCAGTGACAAATATTTGAATCTGACCTATTCAAGAAATACGAAGCCAAAGGAGAAACTGTTTGCACAACCGTCTGACTACTGCGACACCCTACTGAAGCCAATCATGTTGCATAATCTTCATGAACACACCTTTGAACAAGACCTTGTAGTGAATATTTCGTCTCAAAGAAATTCGCCAATGGTTCTTCACCAAGTACTACAGCGAGGATTTGTTCGAAATTTACATGCCATTCGTTCTCGTCGAATCTGAATAAGCATAGAAATTTATCTATTTTCTATAGTATAAAAGCAGAGCTTCTAACTGTTTGCAGCTGCATCCTGATCGAAGGGTGCTCCTTGACATAAAACTATAAAACTCCTTGACATAAACATAACTCATGTGGTTGGCTCATCAGGTCTTACCATGTCAGGAATCCGATACTAACCTTGCATAGCCTGTGAAAAGGTAAATCTATGGCAGAACGTTAGTACCTATCCTTAGCTACACTTTCGCTAGAAACGACGAAAATAAAAGGGATCATACAGAAGTGTGAAGTTCATCGTGTTCATCCACCTGACATCGGTAGGCTACCGCGAGTCATTGTAAAGACCGAAAATGCATTCAATCGCCTTTACCGATGCTTAATGAAGTCGAACACATGGCGCATAGCTCAGGGATTGATCAACGCCGACAGCTTTATCTTTTTTTTCCTAGGAGAAGGAAAAACAATGCCGTCACTCACCATTGTATTTTTCAGTCAGTGGTTTTTGTTCAATTAAAGAATGAAGTAGGGAACAATTGGGCCACAAGATCAACACTTTTCTATCTGTCCTTCAGAGCTACTGTGCAGATCCTAGCACTTCTCGCATTCGACTCATTTCTTCGCACCCATCTTCCATGATGTATTTCAAGTTTTTACTTGTGGCTTCGGCTGCTGCTTTAGGATTTTTTGTTTTCATCTTGAATGTCGTAGAATGGTGGTCGAGTCGATTCTCCTTGGCGTGCTGATATAAGCGGGTTAGAGCGCTCCCATATAAATTGTAGAGATAACTCGAAAGACCGACTTTCAATAAACCTCGACATAGATAGTTGATATATTTATTTATATGATCTTATAAACTGATCTTCTTAAGCTGACGCGAGGTTAGTGCAGATCTTCGTTGTCGCTGTAGAGATAGTTTTTTCCCAGAGAAGTCTGGTACTAATTTCCTGACTCCCGCGAGACCTTTTAAGTCAATGGGCTCTAATCCGCAGTTGAACGATCACCCTGCTCGTGATTACCGACAACACTACCACTGTGCTACCCACCTCCTAATACGCTCTTCTGACCGAAAGAAACGGAAAAAATTTTATGACAATACTACCCTCACATCAAGAGGCAGAATAAGCCGAAACCACAAGTACAAAACCATTTTTTCGATGTAGTTTAAAACAATCGAGAAAGATGAAAGAAAATATTTCGTGCCCGCTACATTTCCTTCATATTGTATCGTTGAGTTCGTTCATTCATTCACAATTCACAGAATTCTTGTTCACTACGTCCGATGAAGATTTTGCCGATAAGTGGGGAAATTTTGCGGAATGCTAAATATTTCAAAGTGCTAACCCCGTATGAGTTTGAGCAATTCGCCGTCGTTGTGCCGCATCCAGATCATCTGCCATCGAACCACCGTCCTCGTTCTCGGACGATTCCGTCAACGTGTCTACATTCCTAGCAGAGCGTCCAGTGATCGTTTCTTCGTTGGTCGCTTCAGCAGCTTCAGCTTCCAATTTTGCTTGCAACTCACGATATTTTTCGCTGAGTTGGAAGAGAATTGTTCCTGAAGGACAATATACAGGGAGGTAGTATTTAATAGATTTAAGACCACGACTCATATATATACTCATACAAGATCGAAAACAAATGCACATTTCATTTCCCATTTAAGTTTCGTCAATGCTTACCAACAAGAGCTAGAGAGTTCAGCAGTTCATCAGTATCACCAATATTTATCATATCATAAAACGTTCTCCACATTTCAATGAATTGAATCTGCAAAAGTTAATTAGGAAACAAGAAGGAAAGATATTTTAAATAAGAAAACAGTGGTTTGTCTCTTCAATGGTTCACCGCCTCATCATGACTCGAAGGTATTCCTGAGTCTGCGATGTACAGCGGGAAGATTCACCTCCCCAGCAGGGTCTCCCAAAGTGAGGAGTCCGGCGTCTCCGACCAGAAGCCTAGCTATGAATAAACCAACACAGGGATCCACCACTGTCCTGCTGTAAAACTAGTCGCATGGTGGCAAATCTCCCTCTGATCTACAAGAGCGGCAACCGCCTGTGGTGACGACCTGGGGCAGACTCTGGCCGGACTCACCTCGGGACTCCAGGGAACGACAACTGCTAAACTAGCAAAACTCCGAGAAAAAGGAAATTGTGCTCAGACCCGCACAACCATTGAAGACGAGTGAACCAACTATTCAGCTAAGTAAGTTTCAATGTTTATTAGCAGAAGGAACAAAATCGCTGTGAAATGTTTACGAAAATGCTGAAACCTTAGCCAGCTCGTATTCTGCTACAAAGGAAAATAACCTGATTCATCGGTGGAAGCGTAGTAACATCTAGACGAGTCGATGCCGCTTCTGGTGAAGAAAGGATGGCACGAAGTTTATGCACCTTATTGATGGAGTCGTCAATCAAAGCGACAGAATCTGAACGACGAAAAGTTATTGAACCTATCAGAATCATGGAAAGTTACATCCTCAAACATCAAACTAGTGTGAACTAGACAAAGATAAACTCATCTCTGCATTATCGCTCTGTATAATTGAATTATAGTTCATCTTACATTTCTTACACCGCACTAACCATCACTCTCTTCTCCAGGTATCCTAAGTGGACCCTGGCTAGAATTAGATGGATCGCTTCCACATGATTTCCCAGCAATCAGCTCAATTAACGATGAAGCGCTCGATTTGGGATCGTCGACAACTACGAGACTTGTTGCCGCACTCTGAATTAACACTGGGTTGTTCGAAAATCATGGAATGGTTTGTAATTCTACTTTCCTGTGTGTATTTTATTAATATTTTTTGATGCTGCACAATTAAAATAAAAAAGGATAAAGCTCTCGGCGTTGATCAATCCCCGAAGGTGCACCATGTGTTCAACTTCATTAAGCATCGATAAAGACGATTGAATGCACATCTGGCCTTTACAATGACTCGCGGTGGCCTACTGATGTATCGAGCGAGTGCTGCTATCTTCCCAAACAACTCTGCTACCAATTTTCCGACCCCCGAGGGATGGAAGGTTTGGTGGGCCTGATGCGTTGGGATCGATTCCACGTGTGTGTTGCAGGCTATCTCCGACAGCTGCGCAACACGCGCTCATTATAGTTACATTACGAATTGGATTATAATTTTGGAAAATTTCACAGAAAAAAATTGAAACATCAAAACAGTAATTTCGAGAAATCTAATTTTAGCAGTACAAACTCGCTCGTAGTGCGGCACAAACTGCTCGAAATATTAATAACGTAAGGAACAAAGGAAATGTTAACGGACATATAGTGTAACGTTTGCTTCAAAAATTTTGACGCTAAGGATGAGGAAGGTCGTGCGTGCACTTCTGCTATTGACGGCAATGATTTGAAGATTTTCCTGTAAGCAACTATAAGCACAAGTGTTCGATAACAAGCAAAAGAACCCGATGTTAGCATGGCAACTATTCCGGAGCACCTGGAAAAATTTGAAAGTTCGAAAATGGATGCTGCACGAATTGAATGATGCCTCTCCACGACAATGCGTCCCCATACGACGCATTATCAACGCTGAAGATGTTGAACAAACTGGCTAGACTCTGCCTCACCCACCATATTTTCTTGACCTCTTTCTCTCTCTCTCTCTCTCTCTCTCTCTATATATATATATATATATATATATATATATATATATATATATAAATGTATAAACATATATGTTTGTATATGAGAAATGTATTTATACCTTATTTTTATATATTTTATATTTATATTATATTTATATATATTATATATTATATTATATTTATATATTTCATATGTTAAATTTACATTTATATATATTATTTATACTTTATATTTATATTTATAAAAATGTATATTTTCTATGTATTTATATTTACTTGGACACTTGGACAGCCCATCGTCAATAGATGTGCGAACCCAAGCACAATCTTCATTTTTCAGAGTTTTCCTGGTTTAGCTATTGTTTCTTTGGAGTCCTGAGGTCAGTCTAGCCAACGTATGTCCCAGGTCGTCGCCACCACAAGCAGTCGCAGCTCGTGCGGATCAGAGGAAGATTTACCACCACACCAGTTTGATACCAGGACGATGGTGGATCCAGACACTGCTTCACACTTAGCTGGGCTTCCTGATGGAAACCCCGGACTCATTATCAGCTTAGAAGACCCTGCCCGGGGATGAATCCCCCGCTGTACATCGCTGCCCGACACTCAGGAACACCTCTCAGTCTCGACGAGGCGGTAAACCGTTGGGATATATATATATATATATATATATATACATATATATACGTAATTTACACGTAATTAATAATATAATGTAACAGTAACATAGTTTACATATACATAAAGATCTATAATTTCATCGTGATTCATGCTTTGTTTGACTTCAAAAATAGATATGATAGACTTGAAAATGGTTAACTCGCAAGTGAAGAAGTAAACGGTGTATTTTCAATGAGTTCTTCAGGAGTTATTTCAACAAATCGTCTTATTTTTTTCATTTCAATCCATTTCCGCTAGGAGCTAACATCGAAAAGCAACTGAGGGATAAGTACACACCTGCTCACTGGAAACATCTGTTTTGGAAAGCGAAATAGAGTGCGAGGCACCAACAGGAGATGGCGAACATAACATATCCATGGCATCAATGGCAGCTTCAGGAGGTTCTTCTGTAACACTTTAATGAGTATTCTTACGAATTGAACGAAGGCTACTGCTGAATTTATTGCTAGCATCCAAAATCGCAGATAAAAGGCAGTAGTGCAGTAAAAAAAGAATGTTCAGGGAAAAAAATGGTGAATTCATCCCTCAATTACTTCATTTATTGATCCAGCGATATGAAATATCACTGCTAGCTTCTTGTCAAAAGTAAATGATCTTTCCACTGACCAAGCCAAATTACCTCGATGCAAATTGATTAAAAAGAGATAAGTCATCATTAACTCTACTATTTCCAGTAACAGATTGCTTGACACAGTAGTGATACGTAAAGGTAGATTTAACAAAGGATGTTGTATATATATATATATATATATATATATAAACATGGGCGTGTGCCGCAGTGGTTGGAGCCGCCACTGCGACACACACGTGGAATCGATTCCCGATCAAGCTTTCCATCCCTCCGGCTCAACAAATTTGTGCCAGCCTTGTCTGGGAGAATAGCAGCACTGGTTCGATACATTGACTGGCCACCCAAGTCATTGTAAAGGCCAGATATGCATTCAATCACCTCCAAGGATGCATAATGAAGTCGAATACATGGCGCATCCCTCAGGGATTGATCAACGCCGAGAGTTTTATCCTTTATATCGTAATGTTATGTGCACTTTTTCAATTTTTTCACACTTTACTTTCTCCAGAAGTCGCCTAGAAAGTAACAGTTCATCGATAAACCGTGAAATTCATCAAGCATGGGATGCCACTCCTAAAAAAACAGAACACCTTAATATTTACCTAGTTACTGAAATAAATTGCAGCCTATCTTACGAATAACCAGATGTTTCTGGATCGTCTACGTACTGCGCAGCCCAACAGCGCGTGCGTGATGGAGTTCTTCGACGTTACTGCCCTTTATACAAACGTGTCGAATGACTCCGCTATGCAAGTCATATTCGAACTCCTTATGCAACACGAAGGAGCAATAAACATGCATGGCTTCAAGATAGAACAGTTTATGGCACTCTTAAAAGAATGTCTGAGCTGCTCAATCTTCAGATGGTCCGGAAAGTATTACAACCAAATAAGAGGGTTGCCAATGGGAAACGACTGGCACCAAATCTTGCTATTGCATTTATGTCTGAGCTGGAACCACCAGTGACCGATCTCGGGCCGATACTCTACTGTAGATACATAGATGTCTGCTTGTACATTTGTTAAAAACAAGAAGAAATGGACAAATGTTTCGAGTTGTTGAACGAACAGTCAAAGTATATCAAGTTCACCCGGAAGAACCGAAAGAAAACTGGCTTCCATTCCTGAACGTCCAAACTAACCTGTCAGAAAGCGGCAAAATTTTTTAAGAAAATTATGAAGTCGTACGGAAAGCCAAGTAGCAAAAGTACCTCTGTTCATTACCTCTCCTCTCACCCCTCTCACACGAAAAGGGCGCTTGTAAGAAACATGTTTCGAACAGTCACCAGCGTGTGTACAGGAAGAGAGCAGAAGGAAGAATACCAGAACCTGGCGCGGGAAATAACCATTTCCAATGGCTACCCAGACTGCAGCTCCTCTGGACAGGTGTAGAGGAAAGGCCAAGTCCCCAACGATAAGTCTAGAAATAATCTCACCCCTTTTATTTACTGCCTTTCTTTTTTTCATGGCAGGGTATGTTGCGAAATATAACTCGTATATAATGCTGAGATATTTGCAAACCTCCTGACCGCAGGTGTATGCGGTGGGGAATGAACGCGCTGTTGTCCTTACCGCGGAGTAGCGCACTTCACCACCACACCATGCGGGTCCTTCGTTTTGCCTGTCTCTCAGCTAGTTCTATCGATCTTTTGCCATCAGCAATCACCCGTCAACGGAATTGATCTAGGGAGCCCAAATCGAGACAGCTGGGAGACAGGCAAAACGAAAGACCCGGATGGTGTGGTGATGTGCGCTACTCCCCGGTAAGGGCAATATCGCGTTCGTTCTCCACCGCATACACCTGCGGTCCGGAGTTTTGCAAATATCTCAGCATTATATACGAGTTATATTTCGCAACATACCCTGCCATTAAAAAAAAAAGAAAAAGGCAGTAAATTTAAGTGTTAAGAATGTGATTATAACTAAGCCTCAGCTTAACTGAGTTCAATGCTGATTTGGGCTCCACAGATCAATCCCGTTGACGGGTGATTGCTGATGGCAAAAGATCGATAGATCTAGCTGAGAGACAGGCAAAACGAAGGACCCGGATAGTGTGATAATGAAGTGCGTTACTCCCCGGTAAGGACAATATCGCGTTCGTTCTCCACCGCATACACCTGCGGTCCGAACTTTTGCAAATATCTCAGCCTTATATTCTAGAAATAATGTTTCGTTTATCCTGCCCTTCATCTCAAACGAACGATTGAATGATTGGTGATTGAATGCATATCTAACCTTTACATTGACTCGCGGTGACCTACCGATGTGTTCAGCCAGTGCTGCTATCCTCCCAGACAATTCTGGTAGTAATTCACCAACCCCAAAAGAATGGAAGCCTTGATAAGAGTAAGAAAATGCAGAGGAGAGTATAAATTGATTTCGACTAATTTCCGTTGTGGTGGTTCACTCTCGTTCTTTTCTTTGTTACACGATCTGCTTTCCAAGAGTATTTTACACACCATATTTTATATCACAGATTTGTAGGAAAAAGTTTTTCTTTACACTTCAGAATTTACAAAGAAAGAGTTCCGTGAGCAAAAGATTTAATGAGCCCGTAGCAATACCGCTGTTAACGAGGGCGATTAAAACATCTCCAATATCTCCTATGTTGTTGTCGTTTTGGAGGGCAATGAGGTATTCCGAGGCAGGCACACATTGCGCGTTCAGTCCGTCTCCTAGTTCTGGGATTTCCTCATAGTGTGATCCTCAGCCGGTTAGTCGCAATGCATTGTGTTGCATATCCAGGCGGCGGATATAGGATTCAACGTGGATCAAAAGTAATTGTTTTGTAGAGACGCTAATGGATTCAGGGAATAGACTCCTTGCTTCTGGTGCGCCTTTGGCATGTACCTCTCGCATCTACGTAGACATGTTTATGCATGCGTGCTTGGGTGTGTTCCCGTTCGTGCAGATTGTATTCCATAACTCATTTCTGCTAAAAGCCTATAATAAAGTGGTTGGGAAGCATAGAAGCCTGTTCACAGTGATGCTGAGATATTTGAAACGAATGACCCGCATGGTGTCGTGGTGAACGCGTTACTCACCGGAAAGGATAATAGCGCTTTCGTAGCCCACTGTAGACACCTGCGGTCAGGAGTAAATTTGCAAATATTTCAGCACCATTGTGGCTTCGTCACACATAATGCCCTGCAGTGGAAAATTGCAGTAGATAGTAAATAGAATAGAGTAGATAGAAACGTACTTGGCTCCTATACCAAGCGACAGATAGAAATGGAAAATTTACTATCGTCCTTTCAAATAACTTAGATGGAAGACAACCTCTTTTCATACAAGAACTCCAAATGATCCAAAAAGTTGGAAAGACAGAACTTGCTCGAGATAGGTGTAAAGGAAACCACAGGTGCCCAACGATAAATCTAGAGACAGTAAGGTCACGTTTATACTGCCCTTCATTTCAAATGAAGTAAGTGCAGCTATAAAACGCTGCTTAAGAAGAGCCGGTCTAAAGAATTCGGTAACGATAATTGAAATGCCACCGAGTAATCTAAAATGCCAACTAGTTCGTAACCGCCTATACGACCGTCCATGTGCAACACGAAATTGCATAATTTGCGCCAATGGTAGAGACGGTGACTGCATGAGTTCGGGTACAATCTATGCGATCTCTTGTAAAGTGTGAGGAGACGAATACGTTGGCGAAACGGGTAGACCACTCTACGTGCGTATAAAAGAACACCTAGTCAGCAAACGTAAACCAGATACTCCATTAGGCACGCAAAGAAAGCAGAGACATAACGGAGAAGACTTTGAAGTAGGGGTTACGATCCTCGCGCAAGAATCGAGAACACAAGCGCGCAAAACCCTAGAGGCATTCTGGATTAATTACATGAATCCGAAAATGAATCGCAGGGAGGGGTGCCTCATTATCACACGTGATATTGGGCAGTATATAAGCCTGGTATTTTGATGAGATGGGCTCAGTACGATTCCGTGCGAGCTTTGTGCGGTTGTTCTCCACGCGACATCCTCAGTGAAAGACTCATAGAAAGCGGTGAGTGTGCAAAGTCTGTGTTCAATGTGATTGAAATTTTGGTTCAGCATTTTCCCTGTTTGATTATGGAGGTGTTTGGCCGTGTAGATCGCAGTCAACTTGACCTTTCCAGGTTCTGAGGAAGACGAAATCCGCCGAAACGTCAGCTTCTACGTAAATAAAGAAATAAAATAACACCTCGTGTTTGCTGAACAGAAGTCGAAAGATGGAAAAATATTTGGAATATGAAAAAAAAGTCATTTAAAAAGGTACATAAAGAAACCGACAGAATTATAGGGCAAATAGAACAGCAGAAGTGTTGGTTCAAGCTTCTAGGGAAAAGACCGCCGGTATGAGTTGATTCGCATTCAAAGTACATGTGGCGTGAAATTATATGTTACCAGAAGCAAAAGACAAATAAACCCACCTTCAACAACACACCAACCGTCTTGTACACTCTCGGTAAAACTGGGACCATCTGTGTCTGAATTACTAAAAGCTGGTGGAATATGACATTTATAAATGACTGCCAATTTATCCGTGGCATCACCAACTAATAGCAGTGACAGCGTCAATGCAAGATCACGAAATGTTAGTAAACCACTGTCGGAGACGTCTAATAACTGAAAAATAAAATACTGTCGTGTTCGGTAGGTAAACATGGGTGGAATATTGACTCAATAGAACGAACTCTAAACAGACGGACAACGAAGTTATTATTAACCGGCCACGGAAGAAGATGGCGTACTACGTCAGAAAAGAGGTCATAATCCAACCTAAACAGAATCGTTTGGTCACATGACATGCTAATTTCAAATCCTTACTTCTTTACACAGTAATTTAGACTGTTTGTACAATATCACTGCACAATACATATACATATATGTCTATATATTTGTATGTATATATACACATATATGACATGTATATGTACATATATATGTATATATATATATATATATATCTCGAAAGACCGACTTTATATAAACCTCAGCATAGACAGTTTATATATTTATTTATATGATCTTATAAGCTGATCTTGTTAAGCTGATGCGAGGTTTGTACAGGTCTTCGTTTTCGTTGTTGTTGTTGTTGATCTATGACTAAAGTTTCAGTGACGTCGCCTTCCTCAGAGCCTGGACGTATTTTATATTAGGATATTTTTGTTATTCGGTGGAAAAAAGGGTAAAATATTAATGAAGGTCAAGCTTTCAAATAGATGCCATATTGAACAGAAAAGCCACTCACCGTTGCTACGAGTGGGACTGGCCCACGCATTGTTACATGGGGTCGCCAGCAAGACACACCTCTTGGTCAAAACATCATTTTGAAATAGGGTGCCAGGTCACGCGTGATAGTGCGGCATTCGTCTTTCCGGTTCACTTTTGGATTTTTGAAATTTATCCAAAACGCCTCAAGAGTTCTGTGCGTTGATGTTTTTGATTCCTGCGCTAGGATCCACACAACCATTTCAGAATCATCGCCATTGTGCTTTTGTGCCCAATGTGTACCTAGAGGAGTGTTTTGACGAATTTGAACTTTCCCATCCAGGTGTTCTTTTATGCGGACACAAAGTGGTCTACTCGTTTCCCCAATATATTCATCGCATGGGTTACATGAGATCAAGTATATTATACCTGAATTTATGCAATCCCCATCTCTCCCGCTAGGACAGATCATACAGTTTTCTGAGCTGCATAAACGATCATAGAAACGGTTGCGAACTAACTGACGGCGTAGGGTATTCGGTGGGATGTCAATAATCGCTACATAATTTCCAAGACCACTTTTTCTTAAGCACCTCTTAACGGCGTGACTTACTTCATTTGATATGAGAGTTGCGAACTAACTGACGGCGTAGGGTATTACATAGTAACATAGGCGTAGTAACTTACTTCTTTTCATATGAAGGGTAGCTTAAAGGGAATCTTACTTACGTTCGAAGCATTATTTTAAGGAAAAGGAACTACCCTACGTCTTTGTCTAACCCGAGTGGCTTCTACTTCGTAGCCATTGGGAATGGCTATTTTTCGTGCCAGGCTTAGCGATTCCTTCCTTTCCTCTTCTGCCGTGCACACGTTTTTAGCCGTACGATACATGTTTTTGATAAGTGCTTTTTTCATGTGCGAAGGATGAGAGGAGAGACAGTGGACTAGAATGTTTTTACTACTTGGCTTGCGATACCATTTTGTTAAATAGGCACTTACTGAGAGCTTTATTTGGATGTTTAAGAATGGAAGCCAGTTCTCGGTAGGTTTTTCTCGTGCAAATTTTATATACTCTGACTGTCGGTTTAGCAATTCAAAGCACTCATCCATCTGTTCTTGTGTCGAACAAATGACCAAACAGCCATCTATATATCTACAGTAGAGTAACGGCCCGACGTCGATTACTGGGGCTTCCACCTTAGACACGAAAGCGATGGCAAGGCTTGGTGCTAAACGCTGCCCCACGGCCAGCCCTCTAATTTGTGCAAAATATTTTCCAGACCACCTGAAGATTGAACAACTGAGGCACTGTTTTAAGAGAGTCATTAGTTGCGCAATCGGCAAACCGCACATTTTCATTTAAGATAAAGGTGGAGAATTTGTAGTTATTCCTAGTCAGTTGGCACAAAAGCACAACGGCGATGACTTTGAAGCGACTGTGCGGATCCCAGCGCAGGAATCAAAAACATCAACGCGCAGAACTCTTGAGGGGTTTTGGATAAATTTCGAAAATCCAAAGATGAACCGGAAAGACGAATGCTTCACTATCGCGCGTGACCTGGCACCCTATTTCAAAATGATGTTTTGACCAAGAGGTGTGTCTTGCTGGCGACCCCATGTAACAATGCGTGGGCCAGTCCCACTCGTAACAACGGTGAGTGGCTTTTCTGTTCAATATGGCATCTATTTGAAAGCTTGATCTTCATTAGCACTTTAACCTTTTTTCCACCGAATAATAAAAATATTCTAATATAAAATACGTCTAGGCTCTGAGGAAGGCGAAGTCGCCGAAACGTCAGCCATCGACCAACAACACCAACAACAACGACAACGAAGACCTGTACCAACCTTGCATAAGCTCAACAAGATAGATGAGTTTATAAGATCATATAAGTAAATATATATATGTACATGTGTACAGACCTCCCAACGGTTTATCGCCTCATTATGGCTGGGAGGTGTACCTGGGGGTCGGGCTGCAATCTGCTGTGGGGGATTCGTTCCCCAGCGGGGTCTCCAAAACTGAGGAGAACGGTGTCTCCAGAAGGAAGCCCAGCTAGGAGTATAATAATGATAGGATCCACCACCATCTTAATAGCAAACTAGTTAGATGGTGGCAAATCCCCGTCCGATCCACGAGGGCCGTAACTGCTTGTGGGGGTGACGTCCTGGGGCAGACTTTGGCCAGGCTGACCTCAAGACTCCAAGGAACCACAACGGCTAAACAAGCAAAACTCCGAAAAGGAGAAATTATGCTGGGGCCCGCACGAGCAGTGAAGACTGGCCATCCAAGTATCCAAGAAAGTATATGTACATCATATATATATATATATATGTATATACGTATATATCTGTGTATACAGTATATGTACTTATATATAGGTACATAAATATTTAGAGTACAGATAACGTGAACAGACAATTGAATATCTGTCAATCTAACACCTGTATTGCGAATGGGCGCAGGGATCTGGCTGTGGTCTTTCAGTCAATGACCCAGCATGGGATCTCATCGTAACACCGATACGTGTACGCCATGATAGAAGATGCTCCTCCTGAAAAGGATTCAAAGCGTTCACTTTTAAGAAAAAAGAAAAATGCAACAATACTTTACACTTAAACCATTACACCGTACACCTTGTGAATATCGTTTAACTCACGCCGGTCATTGTATTTCCCTTACCTCTGAATGGTACATACCTTCATCATTGCTATAGTTTTCGTGTTACTTCATAAGTATAAAAGCATCAGTAGCAGAGCAATGTGCTCTTAAAGTTGTGAAGTCTTTGAACACCAAAAGATTGGAGCATTAAACATATTGGTCGCGAAAAACATGAAGTAAAAAAAATAAAAAACCCCAAGTTCAAATGGTACGGAGAGTTGAGAAGGCAATACAATAGCGAAAAATGTTGACAAAAACAAAAACAAATTAGTTCACAACTTCCTCTTTTTTCCCTTTCCTTTAAAAACTTCACATAGCGACATAATAAAATAAGACTAAACGAACACGGTGAGAAGTTAACTGCGCTCATTTTGACTACGAATGAAGGAACAAACTACGCATTCAGGAGCAGTCCTCTCGACGATCGCACGCGAAAAACCAGGCAAATGACATACCGGACCTTATACTCTGCACTTGGCATCTCGTCGGACCTAGTATTTAGGTGAAGTTGAATGCTGAATGCTGAATGGTGAATGCTTGTCGACAGGTTGCTGTTAACTTGTACCATATAATCAACTCATCTGACTATCATTACTACTATCATTATTGTTACTATTATGCTGATGGGCGCGTGTGGCGCAGTAGTTGGAGGCGCCACCGCGACACATACGTGGAATTGATCCCCGCGCCCATGGCTCATCAAGCCTTCCATCCCTCCGGGGTCAGCAAATTGGTACCAGACTTGTCTGGAAGGATAGCAGCACTGGCTCGATATATAGGTAGGCCACCGCGAGTCATTGTAAAGCCCAGATGTGCATTTAATCACCTCCAACGATACTTAATGAAGTACGAATGCATGGCGCATCCCTCAGAGGTTGATCAACGCCGAGGGCTTTATCATTTTTTATTACTATGCTGATAGCGCCATTAGAGTAACAAAGAAGCCGACAGAAAGGCAAAACAAGGACCTTGGTTGGTGCAATGAACAAATGACTCCACGAAATGGTAACTGCGAGTTTGAAGCGCATTCGAAGTTCCGAGCTTTGCTTGTATCCTAGAATCTTTATGGTTACACCTACTTACCTGGACATTTGGACTACCCGTCCTCACTGGTTGTGCAGACCCCAGCATAATTTCCAATTTTCAGAGTTTTGCTGATTAAGCCATTGTGGTTCCCTGGAGCCCCAAGGCCAGCCGGGCCAAAGTCTGCCCCAGGTCGTCACTACCACAGGTAGTACCCGGCCTTGCGGACTAAAGGAAGATTTGCCACCAAACGACTAGTTTGATACCAAGACGGCTGTGGATCCTAGCATTGGTTTAATCCTAGATGGGGTTCCTGATGAAACGCCGAACTCCTTCTCAGCTTTGGAGGGCCTGCCGGGGATAAATCCCTCAGCTGTACATCGTAGCGCGACACCCAAGAATATCTCCCAGCCAAGACGAGGCGCTAAACCATTGTGAGTCCTTCCGATTATCCTTCACATAATACCTTTCAGTGAGAAAAAGGAAAAGAATACGTAGCTAATAAAAGTTAAAACATAAGAGATCGTTGGTTACCTTAACAACGTTATACAATACTTCCAAATCTTTTGTCGTAAATTTACATTCTTTTCCAACACCTCTTATGACGCTCTTCATTTGACTATCTTCTAAAGTCTAAAATAAAGTAAAGAAATGTAATAACAACACTCTCAAAAACACAACAACAGCGATGGTGATAAAACAACAAAAATATTCCTAACGGTTAACAGGATTTAAATAAAAACTTGAAGGTAAGAAACGACTTAAACGTACCTGCACAACTTTCAAGCGATGCTTCAAACGAAGCCTCTCAATTTGTTCATTAGTGAAGGAGCAACCAAAGTTCTGATACGAAGATGACAGCAGATTGCTCACAGATTTCTGAATGCAGAAACGTGAATAGAAAATTTGCACGATATCCCAACAGATAGTTGTTTATCCATAAATATGTGTTTCCTATAAAAAAGTTATATTCGTATATTACTAAATTACAGCTACCCCTAGTCCTACTATGTGCTGTCGTTTTATAGAAAGTACCTATGGCACAAAAGAACTCAGATACTCCATCTCCTATGCTTGTATGTTACTGTATTGACCACCTCCACATTTTGCTTTAACTACTTAATACTCCCCAACGGTTTACCGCTTTATAATGGCCGAGAGGTGTTCCTGGGTGTCGAACTGTAATGTACAACGGGTGGATTCGTTCCCCCGGCAGGGTCTCCCAAACTGAAAAGGAGTCAGGCGTTTCCATCAGGAAGCCTAGCTAAGAGTAAACCAATACCAAGAACCATCACCGTCCTGGTATTAAACTAGTCCCATGGTAGCCAATCTTCCTCTGATCCACAAGGTCGACGACTGCCTTTGGTGGTGACGACCACGGAAAGACTTTGGCCTGGCTGACCTCAGGAATCCAAAGAACCACAATGGTTAAGCCAGCAAAACTCCGAAAAAATGGAGATTACGCTGGGACTTGCACAATCTGTGAAGACGGGCCAGTATTACTGGAATCAGTTTCGCCTTTTTTACTGAAACAATTTACCTTATCACTCTCATCGGAACTTCGTTCATGAATTTGATCTGCATATGCTGAAAGTGCCATTAATGTCTCGCCTTCGTCTTCAGAGTTATAGATTGTTGATTCATTCTCTCGCAGTAACTCCATTGCAACTTGAAACATCAACTAAAATACTGTATCCTGAACAAATTTGGACTTCCACTTGTGATAACTAGAAAAATCACAGCCATAGTTAATAACTCACTTTGGCCCCTTCATAAAAAAATAAGTCCAATATTCGCACAGCAGCACCAAATTTGACAGCACTAAGGAAAATAGTAAGGAACCAGGACAGCGCTACCATGTCGCCTAGGCCGAGATGTGACAGCTTTGCACTGATTGCCGGCAAGCAACGCTCAACTAACTCCGCGAAAACACCTTAATTTACAACGAAATAAATTTGATAAAAATGGCATTTATACACGAGAAGATGGAGATGTAGAGAAGAACGCAAGCTAAACAATATAAACAAATAAAATAAGTTACAAACTTTGAAAAAACCTGTGCTACAGACGCTGTTTGTATAACACCCCGATCACAAGTAGTAATGTGTTAAGAATAAAGGATAACGCCTTCGGCGTTGATGAATCCCTGAAGGATGTGCCATGCATTCGACTTCATTAGGAATCGTTGGAGGTGACTGAACGTATATCTGGCCTTTACAATGACTCGCGGTGGCCTACCGATGTATCGAGACATGCAGCTATCCTTCCAGACAAGTCTGGTACCAATTTGCCGACCCCGGAGGGATGGAAGGCTTGACGACCTTGTGGCGCGGGGATCGATCCCATATGTATCGCAGAGCACCTCCGACCATTGCGCTAACACGTGCCCTACTACCCATTAACATACTAGCCACGATAAATTGATTTCAAATTATGGTCAACAACAACAGCGTAATTTTAACTTAATTTTTAATTAATTAAATTTAATTTTAATTCAACTTTTAATTTTAATTTTAAACAAACATTTAAACTTTTAGCTCATGGATAATGGAAAAGAACCCATTTGCAATCGCCAAATTTTTCCAAAAACATGCAAGTTTTCTTATTCTACCAAAATAAAACACTAATTTCCAGACCGAACGAAAGGACGCCTGATTCGTCCCATATGTAGCTGATATTTGTGGTTAATTGCTTGCTTAAAAAATTTCAAAGGCTCAAATTCTGTCCCGCTTTTACTTTTCGAAAATTTAATTCAAAAAAACTCCAAATACGAAAAAACTTTAGAAAAACTATTTATACCACTTTGCAATATACTAAAGTCATTTCTAGAAGTAAGTAATACTTTTGATAGTTACTTAATACTTGAACGGCCCGCTCTCACTAGTTGTGCGGTCCCCAACATAAACACCATTTTTCAGAGATTTGCTAGTTAAGTCAATGTGGTTCCCTGGAATCCCGAGGACAGCCTGGCGGAAGTCTGCCCCAAGTCGTTACCACGACAGGCACTCGTAGCAGCCCTTGTGGATCAGCCAGAGATTTGCCACCATGCGACTTTGATACGAGGACGGTGGTGGATCCTGGCATTGCTTTGCTCTTAGCTAGGCTTGCTGATGAAAACACCGGACTCCTCAGCTTGAAAGACGTTACCAGGGGATGAATTCTTTCGCTGTACATCGCAGCCCGACACCCAGGAACACCTCCTAGCCACGTAGGCGGTAAACCGTTGGGAGGATGTAATACTCTTAATTCGTCAAATATTCTACTTATCGAGGAATTACCGCTATTTGTCGAATAACCAGCGTCTTCGCGAATGAATCCTTGTCTTTCAATCACATAATGCAAATGATCGGCAGTAGCTGTTTTCCTTTATCGCAAGCGCGCAATGGTCACAGACGCAGTGCACTACACATGGGATCGATCCCCGCGCCCAAGGCTCACCAAGTCCACCATCCCGCCAAGGTCGGCAAACTGGTACCAGATTTGTCTTGGAGGATAGCAGCACTGTCTCGATTCATCCGTTGGCCACCGCGGGTCATTGTAAAGCCCAGATATGCATTCATTCACCTTCAACAAGGCTAAATGAAGTCGAAAGCATGTAACATCCCTCAGGGATTCATTAACGCCAACAGCTTTATCCTTTTAGCTTTGTAATCATTGGAAGCCAAAGTGATCAAACAAACGCCACTCTTACTAGATTTTTGCTAATCTTGGTAGGCCTTGTTTGCTAATTCTGCGCCTACAAATTCGTAATCCACTATGGAAGAGTATTTTGTGCCCCAAAAGAACTCTCCTAAAACTATTTGCCTCATAACCTCACAATACATCAAAAAGAAAATGTTTCTGGATAAAAGTTCTCCGAAATGTACCTTGGTCCACCAAAGCGCCGACTACTTTCGTATTATAGTAATCGGGAAGCAAGCGCTCACAGATAGCAACCAACAGCCAAAATGCTTCTTCCTCCTTCACATAGAGTAACAATACGGAGCTCACTATATTCATAGCCTGACAATAACCTAGAAATATTTGAATTCTACCCAAACATTAATTTATTTAATGGTCGTGTTAAAGTACTGAAGAAAAAAATCGAACACCTCTAGGTCAACAGAATTAATAAAGATGATTGAAATCCTCACCAATATTTGGGTTCCTAAAAGAATAAGCGGTCAGAATACGACGTAGTGCACCAATACCCTCACCATTTTGAAATGCAGGATGTTCCGGCAGACTACTAAAATTACTTGTTGTTGTCTTCATTATGTGTGAAATCACAGCATGAAAATAATGACTACTCTAAAATGTTATAACTAATTAGACAATAGTGACGAAGTACTGGTTGGAAAGAAAGTGAATAATTAGATGGTAAAGATATAACTGACTCTAACAGACCGGTATAAATCTCTCTCGATCTCGTCTTGCGCAACCGTATAGACTGACTCATGCTTTCGCAATAATTCCTTGTAATATCCTGGATTTAGTTTCATTTCAGCACTAGCACCTGAGCAAATCATCCAGATCTGGAAAATGACCGAGAATATTCGCATACAGAGCTTTAGAAGAAGGAAATTGATGGAGAGTTCAAAGTGATAACTCTCATACAACTACTATCCATTATTTTCGTGATGCAAATTTGGTTTTTAGCCTGCACTTCTTTAAGATATTGAATAAACAACGTCGGATAGCCCCAACTCTAATGCTGACCTTATCCATGCTGAAATACCTCCTTTCTTATGACCACACCGAATCACCGATGTTTCGTCTTAGATAAGAATATAAATAAGTGTGGAGTCTGTTGAAGGTTAAGCGAGTCGACAAACTTTCGAAACACTCCTAAGAGAGACTTGACGATGGTAAACCCAGTCTTCGATGTAGCCAATAAGCACACCATTTCCGTTGCCTAGCGTGCAACACATTGACTGCAAGTATAAAGATCTGTACCAGACCGGTCAATATTTTCTAAAAACCTGAGAGACTGCTATTTAGCTACATTTGTTATTTCTTTTCCATACCGCTGTTTATACGGTCATCGCCTTAGACAACTCATCCAATATTTGGTTGATGATCTTGTTATCAGATCGCAATGGAAATAAAAATCGCCTTGAAGGAGTATTTTCTGCGGCACACCTCTTTCATGTTAACTCCTTTTTTAAGATGAGAGTACCGTCACTGAAAGTGGTAATCCCCTAATGGTAGAGGGAACAATAATATCCATGTTAACAGAAGGTGAAATCGGTATCGTTCCATCTTTTTGTATCGGAACAGGTCATCCAGTTCATTGTGGAAAGACTGGTAATGACGGTAAAATGAAAAAGAAACGTCAAAGCACAAAAAGAAAGTAAGCAGAAGTAAGCAGAACACAATGAATCCATTCTCAGTGGTGCTACTTACAATTATTCTTGGATAGTTGGACACCTGGATAGCCCATTTTCACTGGTAGTGCAGGTCGTAGCACAGTCTCTATTCCTTAGTCTTTTACGCAATTCTCTCAATGCTGGTGGTTTGCTTTGAACACAATGACATATTCCAAATTCATTCCGTTGCCCTGAAATCGTTCCCACCTGCGAATACATATGGTTAACATTGGCTACGAACACGTCCGGCTACCGTTTGGGTCCACGACCACGAGGACGTCTGCTTTCTCTTGGAGTCCATTCCACTGCTCTTTTCATTCATCGTCGCCTGTTTTTCCTCCTATATGATTGGTCTATCGCTATCGATGCATATTCTCCTGGATTCCGAACATGAGATAAGTTCCGAAGATCTGAGCTGCGCATTTGGTTTAGACGTTTTGAGTGCAGGTTAAATTTCATAAGAGATAGTTCAAACGCTCTGTCAGTAGTGGACAGAGTCCTTGAGGTGACTGAAGTATCCCAGGTCTCTGCTGCATAACAGAGCTCTTGAGGACTGTTGGGTTCAGGAGCTTTGGGTCCTTTAACTGGCAGGTAGCTTCTCTGAAAGATACTTCATGTTCTTTTCCTCTTTCGCCTTCGCACCATGCGTTCATCATGAACTGGGTTTCCGCCATATTTATGCGCAGTCCGATCTTTTTTCCTGCTTCGTTAAGCTCATTTAGTACCATCTCTGTTCCGTCGATATTTCACGAAAAGATGACGATGTCGCCGGCGAAAGAAAGACGTGCAAGCAATTTTCCATCAATACATACACCCTTCTAGCTCCAATCGAGTTACCCAGTCACCTTGTTACTTCATTACCCGCTACACAGTGGCAGTGAACAGCTTTGGCGATAGTCTGTCGCCTTACTAAATCCCTTTTCCTATGGCTATGGTAAGCGATCGATAGAAAAACTGTATTTTCGTGGTGCTGTTCCGATAACATTAAGTTTCTGGTTCCCAGGATCGACTTTTTATTAACCTCGGCATTGGAATATGAATGCGTCCTTTTCTTGTACAGCAAACGTTTTTTTGCTGAACAAGAACGACGCATTAAGTTTTATGTAGAACGGATCCGCTCTTTGGTCATCGAGCGCTGATATGATTGCATTCGTTTTAGCACTGTCAAACACTTTTTTACAGTCGCTAAGGGTTAATACAAGAGTTAATTGGTACTTCCAACAGATGTCTACGAGCAAGGACACGATTGCGATGTGGTTCAGACAGCGAACTTGTAGAAATACTGCCTGCTCAACTGGTTGTGCCCCATCCAACGTGTTCGACATGTGAAAAAGGATAATCTTCGTGAAAACCATGCGGAGTACAATCAGGAATCATATGGGACGATAGTTGCAAGGATCCTTTCGGTTTCTTGGGTTGAATGGCTGCGCGCAAAGTCCTCTACTGGCGTGTGGTTTTCTCTTCTGAAGATAAGATGCTATATGGGTTTCGGTTGCGAGATGTGCACATAATTTGTGGTCACCTGTTCTAAGGAAATAATTGGTAATATTACTGGAACCTGGAGCTGTACCTTTCTTCATATTTTCCATAGCAACTCGAATTTCACAGAGAAGGAATCCCGGGTGGTACAACCAGCGAGGATTTCGAGGTCCGAGACGTGGATTGTGGAACAGAAAAGATTGGTATAGAACCGTTCTGCTGTCAATAGTCCCATATTCGTTCATAGGGGCGGATAGCGAAATATTATGGTCGCGTAAATCCTCACTGCAATTTTTCAGACAACATCGTTTTTATGCCGCTTCCTGCAAATTTTTATGAACATACCGATATAAGTGGGCGCGTATGGCTAGAGGCGCCCTGCAATATACATAGGCTCGATTTCGCGCCCCTCCTTCCATCCCTTCGGGATCGGCAAATTGGTATCAGACCTATCTGGGAGGATAGCTGCACTGGCACGATACAACGGAAGGCCACCCCGAGTAAAAGCCAGATATGAACTCAATCACCTCCGACGACGCTTAATGAAGTCGAATGCATGGCACATCCCTTAGAGATTGATCAACGCCGAGAGCTCTATGCTTTATCCTTTATCTTTTACCTTCGTCATGAACGACTTCTCTTAATTTTACTGGATGATGATAGTTCTTTTCCAGCTCGTGGCCGAATCGTGGCCAAGGCCCTCGCATGGAGAAGGCGATGACAAGATCAGTAAGGAGTCCATGTACCACTGAGGTATCAAAAAGCGACCACTTTGCTCGTGAGAACACGATCGATCTCCGCATGAGTCCTTAGAAAACTCTCATTCCCAATGGCAATTTTCTGTCTTCCTCATAAAGAATTCCCACGGGTGAGATGTGCTGCTGGCTCGCTCTAACCATCTGTACAAGATAGTGGGTAGCAGTCGATTAGCCCAACTTTCTTTTGAAGTGGAAGCTGCAGACGAGGAATTCCAAGTGCGATGATGGGATTTTGTATGAGGTGATAGGATGGGAAATAGATGAGTGCATAACAGTGTTAACACCTCCGACATTTCGTAACGGGAATTTTCCTCCACCTACGGTAAGGATGCCGTCAGCTGTTTGGTGCATGTCGGTCTCTTCCTGCATTTCGTCTCTTGTAGGGCGACCACATGGAATGTAATGCGATCAGCGGCCTAAAGAACAGCGTAAAAAACGGGTTTCCTAAGAGACTGTTCTGGTGTTAAAAATGCAGAGCAAGAAGTAGTCTCCATCGCATTTCGACAGTTTGCTTGTTTTGTCCGTTTCCAATGACTTCCTGTGCAACCCGAGATTTGGTCGTCACTACCGGTTATCTCAGTGCTCAACGTAATATACGAAAAGCGCCTAGTGTGTGGGGTACTGAGAGTGGAGTTTTCTGTTTGCGCCACTGTGGTTCCCTGAAGTCCAGAAGTTAGCCTCACGGAAGCCACCTTTAGGTCATGACCACTCCAAGCAGGCACCGACCCTTGTGGATTAGATTTGCCACACATTATGACTAAACTGATACTTAGAACAGCGGCGATTCCTGATATTAGTTCATTCTTAGCTAGGCTTCAAGAAAGGAAACGTCGGCCTCTTCAGCTTGGGAAATCCTGATGGAGGTATAGCCATCCCCAGTTGTACATCGAAGTCCGACACCCAGGAACACCTCAAAGCCACGATGAGGAGGCAAACCTTTAAGAGGTATTGAATTACAGCTGGTGGAAAACTGAAAATAACGATCCAACGGAACTGTACGAGTTGTTGCTAAAGGGTCTTCGAACTTATGCTGAGCAAGCTCTTGCAAACCCAATGACAAGAACTCAACATTTATCAAGACCAAAGAGCTTTTGAAAACGAGATGTTACTACAAAGATCCTATTGTTACACATTTTGAAAAATGGGCATCAACATCATTTGGAGATAGGCTGTACAAAAATCTCTCGACATCGACAGATGAGTATTCTATAAATAGCACAAAAAATGAAAAGCGTAAAGAAATGTTGAAATTTTCCTGAGTACCCTGTCATCTAGTCTACACGAGGAAAACGGGAGAACTACAATTTTCCACGGCGAGATAGAATTAATAAAAGAGATATTCTACACAAATCCTGTTCAATATACAACCCGGTATCCCAGATTCTATTAACACCACTTATAGAACAAGAACTTCAAGTACCTTTTTTTCCTTTAGAAAAAATAGCAATAGGAAGGTCAATCATAACAACCGTCTAATCAATACAGTGAATGTGGTGTATAAGTTTCCCATAAAAATTGTCCTAACGCGAAGAAAATGAATGAAGGTCAACCTGGAGAACAAGGTGAATTTTGCAAGGCATTTAGCTAATAAACCATATCCAAACATTCCCCAGAATCATAGTGTGAAGGCAAGACCAACGCTGTTTACCGCAGCGATAAGGTAGCACAGGCAGTTAGTTGAATGGAACGAAAGAGATATGTGTTGCTGAAAGATCCCCCCTCAACCTTTATTTTACTGACAGCAATATCCTGTTTTTGAGCAATACCACAGAAGTAGACGCATTAGAATTCAGGCCTCTGAAGGAGACCTCGTTTTCGATATCCAGAAGAATACGTCTCAACAATGCTACACAAATGGCTTCGTTAAATAGTGAAAAGAGAACATAAGTGGTGAACGAAAAGAACACTAAATTATATCCCAAGACAATTTTAACCAACTCGACGGAGACTACCGAAAAACTAGTCTATGTAATCGTAACACGCATAAATGAGCTATTGTAGATGAATAAGTAGTCACTGCACTGAAACACGTTCATGCGTTGGTAATAGATTCCTATAAAATCGAAGTCACAAAGGCGCAAAAATGTTAGCCATTGAGGATAAAAAATGTATTAACATCCTTGTGTGAGTTTACCGTGGACAATTGTATGAAAAACACTTGTTATGGATCCTTTACATCCTTTTAAGACAAATAAGAAATCCTACTGTCAGAAATCAAAGTTTAATGTGTTTACAGAGAAAAAGGGAAAAATGATACCTCACCTCTCCTCGGAAATCGGCTGGCACACCTTTCAGTAGTAAACGATGTAACGCAACCGTTCGATACATTGATGTCCCGCTTCCATATTCATCGAAAAGCTTTTTCCAACTTGCCTTAGAGCTGTTGTCAGCAACAGCTCCACATGGATATTTCGACATGAGAGGATAGTCCAAACATTCAACCGTCGACAGTGATGACTCCTCAAACAAAACTATTCCTCCTGTAGAAGAAGTAATAACATAACTTACTTACCTTCTTTGAAAATCCCTTCAAACTATTTTGCAAATTAAATTTTCCAAGAAATGTTTTGGCCTTCGCAAGCACTCTATCTCGATCCGGAACAAACGAGAACACTATGGTTGCCTAGAAATACATGCGAGCCATTCTCTTTGTTTTCTTCTTTATTAAGAAGACAATTTTTCAAAAATGAAGAAGTTAAACATCCACCTAATACCTTCTTGAACTATTCAGCCGACATGAGGCTCGTATAGAGCATTTATTCGTCTAACGCTTCGATGTCTTCGTCATCTTCAGACCCTCCTGAACCGAGTAAATGATCTCCAGATGGTCGTTCTCGCGACGTGTATGTTCGTTGCAGCATCGAGGCGAATTCCATGAAGCAACGCACCGATTGAATGAAGACCCTCACTTGACTGTCTAATTTTACACAGGATGGTTTTGGTCGATTCCCGCCCACCAATACGATCTGCTTTCTGCCAGGCAATGCTTCTTCTAGCAATAGATGGTATACTAGCCGTCTACACTATATTATACTGGAACATAGCTCGTATCAACTCAATAATACAAAAAGACATTGATTATTTGTGCCGAGATTAAATAAAAGTCGTCTTTTAGAGATGTATTATCGCGCTATGTGCTACCTAGTATAACACCGACTGCTATAGCACGCGTTGCCCGCCAAACAGCAGATCATATTGGTTGGCCAGAATCGACCAACATCTGTCCTGTATACAAGGACACCTCCAAGTGAGATTTTCCATTCGATCGGTGCTACACTTCACTAGGTTCGACTTCGTGCAACAACAAACATCCACATCGCAACAACGACCAGTTGTGGACTATCGATTCGGATCAGTGTGGCTCCAAAGAAAACGAAGAAGTCGAAACATTAGCAGAACAAATATTTCATACCAACCTCATGCCGGATCAATAATACAAGAAGGTATTGATTATTTGTGCCGAGATTGGATAAAAGTTGGCTTTCAGAAATCCACCTAATTTATGTTATGACCTGAACGCTGAAGTGGATGAAGGAGAATTCAAAGCGGCAGAAGAAAATATTTGGAGAAAAAGAACTAGGAAGGATAAGAATAGAAATATACAGTATTCCCACACAACACTGGTACACAACATTCGTTACGAGCTTACTCAAAACAAAGATGTTGAATTTGATGTGCAAATCGCAATTTTTTAAACCCGAAAGAAAAAGTCCGAACACAGAACAGGAAAAGACGACTATTCTCGTGCTCTACAGAGTAGTACACCGGAGAAGCCTCAAATTTTCCATGCAAACAGCTATGAGATACGGTTTCCGGCTAAGATTAAATGAGCGAAAACACCAGGCCTGCATTTTACTACTGATCCGACTAATAGTGGATATGGTTGTTAATAGCTTCCTCTTCACCATGATGAAATTCTGATTCGATGGAGCACAACAATCCTATGTCATGTATACATACATATATGTAGATATAAGCGTATATACACGAGAGATAGTAAATACTACCAGAGCGGACAGAAAAACAGAGAAAGCAGAACGCTTGCTTGAGAGGTAAGCAAAGGACGGATAGGAAATAAGGAGGAAACTTAAGAAAGAGTGCAAAGGGAAGACGAATGAAGGAGGAGAACAAAAGTGGTTCAAAATAATAGCTATCGTTTTTCTAAAAATAGACTTTAACCAGTTGCTTGATTTTGAAGCCTTCTGTGGATGAACAAGTACGGCCCAATTAAGATACTGAGGGTAAACCGCTTTCAACAAAGAAAAAAATGAAGCGCTAACTTCGTAGAAGAATTGCTTGCGCAAGAATTAAAAGGTAAATAGATCACTTGTTTAAAAAAACCGCACTAAAGGAATTGAAATGCAAGATATTTCACCGTATTTTTTAAACAAATCAGCAGTCCAGTGCCGCAGGTGAGATTTGCACCCTGTATTTCGTTACATTCCTCAACACTGGCTATGTCCACAATCGGAATTGCAATTGAAACGAGGCGTTCTGTCTATAAAATACTAAAATTTTCACATCAAATTATGTAAAACCCTAAAAATATGAAGAATCACTAAAGAGAACTTAATACCGCCCTTCATTTCAAATGACGTAAGTGCAGCTATAAAACGCTATTTTAGAAGGGCCAGTCTAGAGAATTCGGTAACGATAATCGAAATACCACCGAGTAATCTAAGACGCTAACTAGGTCGTAACCGCCTATACGACCGCCTATGTGCAACGCAAAATTGCATACTTTGCCCCAATGGTAGAGACGTGACTGCATGAGTTCGGGTACAGTCTATCTGATCTCTTGTAAAGCGTGTGGGGAGGAATATGTTGGCGAAACGGGTAGATCACTCTGCGTCCGTATAAAAGAACACCTAGTAGGCAAACGTAAACCAAATACTCCACTAGGTACGCACAGCACGCAGAAACATAACGGAGAAGATTTTGAAGGGTTACGATCCTCACGCAATAATCGAGAACACAAGCGCGTAAAACTCTAGAGGCATTCTGGATTAATTCCAAAAATCCGAAAATGAACCGCAGGGAGAAATGCCTCATTATCACGCGTAATATTGGACAGTATATAAACCTGGCAAAGAAGTTATTCTGTGTTCAATGCGATTGAAATCTTGGTTTAGATATACCGAAACCGACTTTCCTTGAACCTCGGTATCACTAATCAATATGTATTCTTTCTTTGATGAGCTTACACAAGATTGATAATGATGTTTATTTTCGGCTAACGTTTTGACGTCTTCGTCTTCCTCAGAGCCGATGATCCGAGTCGATGGTCCTCGCTTGTTATTCGCCTCGACGTGGCAGCTTCGCCTTCGTGTTGAGTTAGTTCTTCTTCAGTGAGCCATCTCCTCGAATGAGGCATCCTTACTCAGTGATGCCCTTTTATACACGATGCTGATGGTCGATATAATGATAATGTCCGGTGATAACAACTTGTTTTTCTTCCGGACATACATCATTGCAGTAACTGCCACAACCGACTTTCTATTAACCTCGGCATTGATCAAGTGATTTTCTCTGTATTTTTGTTGAGCAAACGCAAGGTGTTACTATTCTTTGTTCACGATTAAGCTGACGTTTCGGCGGATTTCGCCTTCTTCAGAGCCTGGAAAGGTCAAGTTGATAGCAATCCACTCGGCCAGACGCCTCCATAACCAAGCAAAGAAACTCCAAACCAAGATTTCAATCACTTTGAACACAGTTTTGCACACTCACCGCTTTCTACGAGGTTTCCACTAAGTATGTCACGCAGAGACCAACCGCACAGAAATCACATGGAAGTATAATGTGCCCCTCACATCAGAAAAGCAGTTTTATATACTGCCCTATATCACGCGTGATAATGAGGCATTCTTCCCTGCGGTTCATTTTCGGATTTCTGGAATTAATCCAGAGTGCCTCGAGAGTTTTTCGCGCCTGTGTTCTTGATTCGCGTGCGAGGATCGTGACACATACTTCGAAGTCGTCCCCGTTATGTCTCTGGGTCCTATGCGTGCCTAGCGGGGTATTTGGTCTATTTTTGCCGGCTAGGTGTTCTTTCATGCGGACAGAGGGGTCTACCCGTTTCGCCAATGTATTGGTCACCACACGTCTTACAGGAGATCAGATAAACTATACCCGAGTTCATGCAATCATCTCTACCACTGGGGCAAATTATGCAATTTTGAGTTGCACATAGACGGTCATATAGGCGGTTACGAACTAGCTGGCGCTTAAGATTACTCGGTGGTATTTCAACTACGCTCAACATGCCCCGTCTAGTACTTATAAAAACTCATAAGTTAGTATCCAGCGATGATCTTGCGTCTACCGATCCATCACTATTTAAGGTTAGACCTATCATTAGCTGCATAGGACCCAGAGACATAACGGGGACGACTTCGAAGTATGTGTCACGATCCTCGCACGCGAATCAAGAACACAGGCGCGAAAAACTCTCGAGGCACTCTGGATTAATTCCAGAAATCCGAANATGAACCGCAGGGAAGAATGCCTCATTATCACGCGTGATATAGGGCAGTATATAAAACTGCTTTTCTGATGTGAGGGGCACATTATACTTCCATGTGATTTCTGTGCGGTTGGTCTCTACGTGACATACTTAGTGGAAACCTCATAGAAAGCGGTGAGTGTGCAAAGCTGTGTTCAAAGTTATTGAAATCTTGGTTCGGAGTTTCTTTGTTTGGTTATGGAGGCGTCTGGCCGAGTAGATTGCTATCAACTTGACCTTTCCAGGCTCTGAGGAAGGCGAAATCCGCCGAAATGTCAGCTTATTCGTGAATAAAGAATAATAACACCTCGCGTTTGCTCAACAAAAATACGAAGAATTACTTGATCAATGCCGAGGTTAATAGAAAGTCGGTCGTAGAAGTAGAAAGAATTATGCAAAACATTTTCCCTCTGCAAGACGAAGAACAAAGGATGAAGGATAAAGCTCTTGGCACTCATCAATCACTGAAGGACGCGCCATGTATTCCACTCCATTAAGTACAGCTGGTGATGACCGAATGCATATCTGGTTTTTACAATAACTTGAGGCGCGGTCCACCAAAGCATCGAGCCAATGTTGCTACCCCCTGACAAAACTGCGCCCAATTTGCCGACCCTAAAGGAATGGAAGGCTTGACGGGGCCTGGAGAGCGGTATCGATCCAATATGTATTGAAGGGTGCCTCCAACCACTGTGTTACATGCGCTCTTAGAAGACGACGGAAAAGAAATAAAAAGAAGAACCACATCGAGACAGGACTGAAACAACGAACTGCCACCAAAAAACAAACAAAAACAAAAACAAAGGGAAAAAAGCAAGAAGAACAGCAGCATAAACTGTGATTAAAAAAAGGAGAAGTACGAACCACGATTGTACCTAAGAGGAAAACCGAACAAATGGGAAATGAATAGTAGTGAAATGGATATGAGGACGTAGCAATAAAGACGACTTAATAAATTTGATTGAATCGTGACAGGAAACTTACTTTGCTAGCAAAACAAATGAAGTGCGCCGAGAGGTAAAGTCGACCAATTACATGTCGACGATCGTACGGAGTGAAGAGACGACATTCCGTGTCACCGTCCAATTTTTCAGAGTGTGGCAAATGGAAAGTGCACCTGTAGCAGAACAGCTTGCTCACGTTGATATTTCACATAACACAGAAAGACAGGTCAAACTTAAGCCTTCATTTTCACAAGTCCTCCGTAGATTTTCGAGCGTATCGTGCAATGGTTGGAGGCGCCACAGCGACACACACGTGGAATCGATCCACGCGCCCATGGCCCACCAAGCCTTCCATCCTCCTGGGGTCGGCAAATTGGTACCAGACTTGTCTTGTCTGGTTGTCTGGAAGGATAGCAGCACTGGCTCGATACAACGGTAGGCCACCGCGAGTTATTGTAAAGTCCAGATATGCATTCAATCACCTCCAAACCCCCAAACGACGCTTAATAAAGTCGAATGCATGACGCATCCCTCAGGGATTGATCAATGCCGAGCTTTATCCTTTACTCTTTTAGTAGAATCACCTTTTCCTACATTAATGGTGAATCAATCTTGATCACGTGCGAGTCAAATGACTACAAAACTGTGACTTGGCACAATATTTCAGTGTTAACTTTTTATTTTAAACCTACCACAATCTTTCACGGCACGACATTATGTGAAATATAATGTCAAGGATGCTAGACATTTGCTAAACTCTGGACCGCAGAGGGCTAGGGTGGGGATAGAACACGCTATTACCCTTTTCAATCAGAAAGACGAAACGAAGGAGCTGCATGGTATGATGGTGCACGCGCTAGCCCTCGGAAAGAGTAATAAGCGTGTTCGATCCCTACCACAGGGGCCTTCGGTCCTAAACATGGCAAATATCTCAGCAGCATTGTTATTGTACTTCGAGTGAATTTTTCGACTTGATAAAGGCACCGTTTTCATCCCATGTAAACTCTATGCAGGCAAGCCCACTGTATAAAAATTGGACAAAAAACAAAGCGAGAGACGTTTGCAAAGAGGACTTCCATGTGACCGAAAATCAAATCATGAGCTCCTCTGTTTCAGTGACTAAAACCTTCGAACGAGCATAGCACACGTTAATATAACTCTTTCTAAGCTCTTAAGAAAACGAAATCTGGCGAAACATCAGCTAATTGGTTTATAATAACTCTGTAGAAGCGTGTCAAGAGCATAGTAACTCAGTCGTCAAATGTTGAGTTTAAAGGAAATCGGGCATAGGAACTGAGAGAGAAACTGGCTATCACTGAAAAGCTTTCCTCAAAAAGCAGATGATACCTGTCCTACAATGACGAATGTATCTCACCTGTAGCTTTCACTACGATATCTTGCATCGAGATCTCGTTTAAGAAAAGACGCAGAGATCTTTCTAGCTCGTTTCTGACAACTTTCACGTAGTGCCTTGTGAAGAAGAGCAACATCTTCACAGAATCCCTCTTCTTCAATCAGCCTGAAAGATTAATTTCGACACACCAATGGAAATACTGCACTTAGACCAGGAACACATTCGAATTATTCGAAAAAAACTGTCTATGAAACTTTCTATTTACTATGTTTTAACGTTTTGTTTTCTGCCTTCTATAATTTTCATGGCAGGTTACTAAGCGAAATACAACCACAATGTTGCTGAGATATTTGCAAAACTCTGGACCGCAGGTGTCTATGGTGGGGAACGAACGCGCTATTATCCTTTCCGGGGAGTAACGCGTTCACCACCACACCATGCGGGTCCTTTGTTTCGCACGTCTCTCAGCTATTTCTATCGATCTTTTTGCCACAGCAATCACCCGTCAGCGGGGTTGATCTGGGGAGCGCAAATCGGCATAGAACCCAGTTAAGCTATGGCTGTAGCTGAAATTCTATTTACTGCCTATTAGAGTTTTTCACGGCAGAGTAATCAAAATCTCTGGACCGCAGGTGTCCACAGTGAGGATCGAACACGCTGTTACACTTTTCGTGGACTAGTGCATTCATTACCACACGAAAGTGTTCATAAATCACCTCCTATCATCAAAAGCAAGATGTCACCTGACTAGATAATCTAGGAAATGACTCGCATGAAAACTCTGGTCATAAAATCCATTATGAACTAGTATGCAAGGTCTAAATCTCTTAGCCTAGAACGTAGAGCGCTGCGGATAGAAGCACCCTGCGATGTACATATTCGTTGCTTCAGTTCACATTCCGTGCTTACCAAGCGTATAATCCATCCAGAGTTTGATAACTTCCTAGGAGACTTGTCTGACAGGATAAAACCACTGGGTCTGATAAATCGACATTTCTTTGCATGTATAGTTCAAACAAGCATCCACGTTTACGATCCTGCTAATGGAGTCAATGGAAGATAAACGATTCATTATACCGGCGAATTTCAAAATTTAAGGGCTAAGAGCGCGTGCAGCGCAGTGGTCGGAGGCGCCCTACAATACACGTGGTATCGATCAACGCGTCCCAGGCTTACAAACACCTCCATCCCTCCACGGTCGGCAAATTGGTACCAGACTTATCCGGGAGGATAGCAACACTGGATCGATACATCGGTAGGCCATCAAGATTCATTGTTAAGGGACAGATATGAATTCAATCACCTTCAACGATGCTTAATGAAGTTGAATGCATGGCACATCCCTCAGGGATTTATCAACACCGAGAGCTTTATTTTCTTTTCATGGACGATTTGCACATTGCAAGAGTATCGGCAATGAAAGAAATGGTAGTTCCAACTCCGATAAGGAACAAAGCCATTTTTAACTGCGGTAAACCTTTGTAGAAAATAGAACAAAGCAAAAATAAAACAATGCTATCCAAAAAAAGTGGCTCCGAAGGTGGATAAGAAACCTACTGTTTCATTGCGATATTAGCTAACTGTGAAGCCAGCTTATACGTTTCATCAATGTTAAGAAACATTGAAAATTTGAAAGAGTCCTGTCGAGTGACAACGTTGATGCTTTGCGGCCATAAGACGGTGGAAACCCGATCAAGCTTCTAAATTTAAATACTAATTAACATATAAACGAGATACAATAAAAGACAAATAACCCTATTAGTGCTAAGATGGAGAGCAAATTACCGTAATATCCGTCCATTTTAGTTTAATCTTCACTTCTTTCCCAAAGATGAAGGAATAGAAACATAAAAAGTTTACAGATAGGTAGAGGTGGCCCTGGTTGGGAAAACCATTGTTCCAGTAACAACAATTGTAATCTGAACTTCAAAACCTCATTTTAAATCGGCATTTTTAAAAATTAAGCTGACGGTAAACTTACAATTCACTAGCTTTTCATCGGAAGGCAATGAAAACAGTACTATGAACTTATCAGATACCGACCGAGTCGACAATGAATCCAGCATTTCTGGATAAGAAATCCTGGTTTCCAAAGTTCTCTTTTTGAAACAGCAAAATAAGCGTTTAGTAGCCACTAACCACTTCCACAGGATGTTTCGGCGTTGATATGAATTAAGCTCTCAACTTTACATACAACGAACGCTCTAACGTCCTTCTCGTTTAAAAAAGAGCCTTAAATAACGTTTCAGAATTTGAATAGATCTTATATAACTGCTTCCTACTATCCACTTAGCCACATTTTATTTATACTTTTCCATTTAAAGGTCCCTCTCAACAATTTGCGGCCTCATCGCGGTTTGGAGGTGTTCCTGCGTAGAGCGTGATGTCCTGCGGAGGGATTCATCCCCACAGCAGGGCTTCCCATGCTGAGGAGTCCGGCGCTTCCGTTAGGAAGCCCAACCAAGAGCAAACCAATACCAGGATCCACCACCTTCCTGGTATTGAACTAATTGCATGGTGGCAAATCTTCCCTGATCCACAACGGCGGCAACTGTTAGTGCTGGTGACGACGTGGGGCGGACTTTGGTCTGGTTGACCTCGGGACTCCACAGAGCCACAGTGGCTAAACCAACAAAATTCCGAAAAAGTGGGAATTACACTGGCGCCTGCACAATCAGTGAAGACGGGTCATCCGAGTATTCAAGTATTTAAAGAATAAATTCATAACTACCCAGCGTCGGTATAATATTCTTCTGTATCCAATTCCAGTGTTGAAGAATCTCACTCCTTTGGATAGCTACAGCAACTACTGTAAAGAAAAATATCAGTCATAACCCAGAAACAAGCGGAAAACTGTTTCTTCCACAAACATCCGCACCGAAAGCAATTTGAACCTCATCATTTTGGTATCGATAGATGATTCGATATGGAGGTGGACGAGTATCCAGCACTGAATCGATTGTTGCTATTAAAACTGACGACAGTCCTTTTGTTCCATAGCCTTTCCTACGCTGAACAGCAAAGTATTCGCATTCCTGTTCAACAGACCTAAACGAAGAATCTGAGGTTATCCGGTAAGTAATTTTACCTAAAACATACCAAAATGGCTGGCCAAAGTAGAGAAAGTCAGGCTTTATCCAAACCATACGTGATGAAATCACTGGATGAGAAGAAAGAGCGCTCCAAGGGACAAACTTATCCCTAAAGAGAACGCCACTCGTAAACAACAAACCACATTTTTCATAAGTGGAGTATCGCGATTAACACACGGTTACTGCTGAAAAGAAAACGGAAAAGGAAATAATATATACGAAAAGAGCGAACGCATGGAAAAGTATAGTAAAAAGTCGGGTGAATTCTTTGTCTGATGAAAAAGTGAGCATCTCTCGTTTTAACTCTTAAACTCTCCGAGTTCCTTAGCTCTCTCTAAGTTTCAAATACAAATTCACTGATGATTGTGAAAATGAGCATGTATTTAGGAAACAAGGACCCTCAGCACTGCCGCAATGACGCGTAACCTTGCTGGGCCGCCGCGTGGGACGACGCCTAATTTTGTCACCGCAAGCGCTATGACACTGGTAGAGGGATTGATTCCTGCTCCCGGACTCACCAAGCCTTCTCTCCCTCCGAGGTCGGCACGTTGGTACCAGACTTGTTTGGGAAGATGGCACTGGCTCGATACATCGATAGGTCACCGCGAGTCGTTATAAAGGCCAGATATGCTTTCAGTCACTTCCACTGATGCTACGAATGGAGTTGAATGCATGGGGCGTCAGTCAGGGATTGATAAACTCCGAGAGGTTTATCCTTTTAACTTTTAATGTATTTCTGTAGCAGAGAAACCTTTAAACACTCCTCTTTTGTGGTACCTCGATCAACAGTGATACTTAGTACCCTTCTCACCTGCAACATTATTTCTTCGCCTAACTCCGTGAGACGATAAAACCTCCAAGAATTTCTCTAAACTGTAAGCAATATTCCATAGAGAAGAATGAAGGGTAAAATATCCGGTGTCGACCAATCATTGAGTCATGCGGCTCATTGTGGACCACTCACCCACGTGTCAGTTCTGGGAGCGTCACACGGTCGTCAACATGTACTTTGAAAGTAAACAAGAACCATATTTCTGTTCATGCCCATGAAATGGAGAAAAAGCTCACTACCCTTATGTGCCCAATTTATCCTTGAATTTTAATGATTGTTCTGTACACGCTGTTTTTCAGTCAGGTAAAAGTGGGAAAAAAGACCGCACACCGTGACAAACTCTCTGGTAAGTTTTAAAAGAACAAGGAGTTAAATTTAACCCTTCATTATCTCATTGTGATCACCTCTGGATTGACATTTGTCGAAGAATTCATGCATTTAATGCATAGGTTTTACTATCACAATGAACATTGGAGATAAAAGGATACAGAATAAAGCTTTCAATGTTGATCAATCCCTTAGGGTGCGTCATGCATGCGACTTCATAACCTTTGTTAGAGCTGAATGAATGCACAGCAAGCCTAGACAATGACTCGCGGTGGCCTACAGATGTATCGAACCAGTGCTGCTATCTCCCAGACAAGTTTTATACCAATCTGCCGACCCCAATGGATGGAAGATTTGGTGAGCCTTGTGTGCGGAGATCCATCCCAGATGTGTTGCATGGCGCCTCTGACCATTGTGCTACACGCACCTCTCAGCAAACGTTGAGGGGAACCTAAATTGGTATATGCGCATCCGAAGAAGTTTCGCATAGCCATTGATAGAAATTTTTGAATCTAGTGCTATCTAAAACACGTATGGAGGTCTTCTTTGGCTTCTGGTGAAAGTTAATTTAGGTTATATAATTCGGCGGTTTATTCTTCAAATTGGCGTTAAGCTCTCAATGTTGCATGTTCAATAGGGTTTACCACGCATTCCATGTCCTGAATACGATCGTTAATGGAAGATGATGACATGCCTTCATCTGTAGACTCAACAGCTACATGTAGGTCTTCAGTAAACGAAAGTTTTGAGTACTCACGCTGAGGTTCACTGGAGGTCAGTGCTGAGCAGTGCTCCGTTGTGCAGTTATATTAACCTAACCGTTGCCGTATGGGCTACCGCCATAAAAGCAGATAATTCTGATTGGCAATCAACCATGCACCGTCTTGGATCCTGCAGAATTGCCGGGTTATGCCAAGTAACTTCAGCGCTGCTAGAACCATGCATAAAAGGGCAGTGCTGAGTGACATACTATTCGTGTGGTTCTCAATTCTACTCAACTTTTCTCGGTGAGACGGCTATGGATACCGACATCGCGAGAAGAACCAACTGCCATGGACACTCGACTCGAACCATTGCAACCTCTGAAGAAGACGAAACCGTCAAAACGTTAGCCATAATAAAAGTTTGTAAAATCCTCGTGTAAGCCCATCAACGCGGATAGACTTAGCGCTACCGTATTCTAAATTGTCACTTCCACAGTCTATCGAGATCGGTGGAATAGCGAGCAAAAAGCTGGTTAACGATGACGAATCTGTGAGACATGTTACGCAAGCATTTTTGAGGGATGAAAATTATGAAATCCAAGAACGAGTTCAAAGTGTCGTTTACCTACGAGATGAGCTTCGTGATGAGCCAAAAGGTCATTTCAAATCCACCGTCCGCCGTCATAGCAAAGGTGTTGCTGAGAAAAGTTGCACCACTCGGAGATTGTAGTTGTTTTAAAGATGTGCTACGGCAAAATCCTAAACTTAAGTAACGAAATCTCTACACACATGTGTATATAGAACGATAAAAAAAGGATAGCGCTGTCAGCGTTGATCGACCCCTGAGGAATGCGCCATGCATTCGACTTCATTCAGCATCGTTGGAAGTGATAATATAAAGAATAAGATAGCAACCAAATTAATGTGTACAGACAACAGAAGGTTAAGGATCAAATTTGATGATAAGATAAAATTCTTTTATTACATGACCCATCTTACATTTCTATTGTGCGGCTCCCAGCACTTCTTGCCATTCGATTCGTTTCCCCACATCCATTATTTACGATTATCGTCCAATTTTTACTATCAGTTCGATTACTGACAGAGGATTTTCCTTTCGTCATGGATGTCGCTCAATGCCGATCAAGTTGATCCTTACTAGAGTTCTGAGATAGCAGGACTAGAGCGTTAGTACTGGGATTTCAAGGTGTGAACTTTTTCCAGACAATTCTGGTACCAATTTGCCGACTCAGGAGCGATGAGGAGATTGGTGAACCTTGGAGAGAGACGAACCAGTGTTTCACTCGTGATGGTTAACATCACTACCACCGCGCTAATCGGTGCAACTGATCCTGTCTGATGTTTCACAAAATACGCTCTTTGAGACGTCCACTTGTGAATGCCGGGAAAATCACCGTAGCATATTCACCTCGGTGGATGCTCCAAGGAGACTGTCCAAAGATTTTAGTTCAAGTTCAACCATAAGGTGGACGTTGGATATTCCAGGCACCCTTCGATGCTGAGACTAGGTCCGGAGGAGCATTGGCTTCATTCAGTGGAAGTCCCAGAGAGGCTGTCCAAAAATTTTGGTTTCAGCTCAACCATTGGTGGAACGTCGTTTACTCCAGGTACTACCGTTCGATGCTGGGATTGAGCCCAGGAGAGCAAGGGCTCCAATATTTCTCGAGAGAATTAGGTCCCGTTTATGCATCCCTTCATTTCCAACGAAATATGAAGCTATAAATTGTTGCGTAGGAAGGTACGGTCTGGGAACTTCGGTAAAAGCGATAGAAATACCATCGCACACTTTAAGGCGATAGCTTGTTCATAACCACGAAAATGATCGTCTATGTAGAACGTATAGAAAACTTCTCTCTTGAAAAGTTCTCTATCTATCTAAATAATAGTATTTGAAGTCCAAATATGGCCGCCTCGCTGTCGCGCATTTCGTTACATGGTGCATTGGTCACTTGAAAGGACCTAACAACAGCAAGTTTCGCAGTTCAACTTCACAGCTACCACTTCAGCTTGGTACCGCTTTCGTGAGTTCACAAATTTTAGTTCCACGAAAATCTCTTTTCCGCTTTAATTTACCATGGCCAACTTTTTACGAATTCTAAAACGACGTATCACCCATTACACTAGAAAACTTGAGACCACACTAACGCGTCTCAAAGATGAGCAATTGGAAATGCTCAGCACGTCATCCGCTAATGGAGAGATAACAGAAACCTTCATATGTGACAGCATTTACAAACTAAATGAAGGAGTTCTCACCATCGAAGGAGCTATCGCAAAGCTAAACGAAGCACTAGTCTAGTACGAAACGAAGTCTTCAAAGCGCGATCTAACACTAGGGAGCGATGAAGGCACCGAAATACATTGCAGCAAAGCAGAGGAAATAACCAAGGCAGCAGAAGACTACTTAGTAAAACTCAGAAGTCGTATAAAAAGCCTTGAGTTTGCTAATACTTCACAAAGAAAGCTAGCCACCCCAACAAGGACACAAACAGACCCTCAAGCAGTCGAAGTTCTCCAAACTATAGCTACAGCAACACGTCTCAACTACCCACACTCCCGATACCGACTTTCAGTGGTAATATTTGGGAATGGGACAATTTCTGGGAGTTATTCAAAGCGAACATGCATTCCCAGAACATATCGGAATTATATAAATTCAATTACTTGCTCAATTCGCTACAAGGGGAGTACTCGATGCGGTGAAGAAATTTCAACTCACTAAGGAGAACTATGCTAAAGCGGTTGAATTTCTTATTAAGAAAATATGCAGACTCGGAAAAACTCATAATAACACTCATGGACAAACTTGACAACAGCCAGCTTCGTTCCACCACTGTGTACGATCAACGGAAACTATTCGAACATTTGCACTTAACACTAACACAGTTAAAAGTAAAAGGTGAAAATGTCGACAATCAATGTATGTTTAAGAAAGTATTGTCTAAATTCTCTAACAACATACAGCGCAAAGTCATCGAAAAGAAACTTGACGTCGTGACGAACAAAGATAAACCCTTCCACATGGACCAACTCCTCCAATTTATTGAGGAAGTTATACACAAGGAGGAAAAAGTATGGCAGTACACGTCAAAGTACCAACCAATGTCAGGTACTATCAATAAACAAGAGCATACAAGCAGATCGTGGATCCCCGACAAAAAGTACTGCTGCATGTACTGTAGGGCCGATCACAAATCGTTCAACTGCGACATGTACAAGACACCATGTGACCACTCACAATACCTCCGAACTAACAAATTGTGCGCAATTTGCGCATTCCCATACTCAACTAATTGTAAGAAGTTGTCTTGTTTCAAATGCCAGAGACGGCACTATACTTCATTTTGCTTTCAGTCAACGTCAAAAGAAACAAGCTTTCAGGATGGTTCTAAAAACGAACCAAACAGAAACGAGGTCTTTAAAGACAGGAAATATAGCAATAAGAACATCGAGACGTACCAGCCGAGGTCCAAAATCAACTACGTCAATCAACAGCAAGAACACTCTGCACCACAGGAGACTATCGTCGTAGAAGTTCAGTACGAAAATCCGCATCTCCGAAGTCAGCAAACCACCATATTACCCACCGGAGAAATTACAGTGGTGAACACAACTACAGGAACACTTGAAAAAGTGCCAGTTTTGCTGGATACGGGAGCTGAACTCTCTTTCATCGACGCATCATTCGCTGCAGAAATAGGTCTTCCTATCATAGAACAAACTACACTACGCCTGCGTACATTCGGATCCGAGGAAGCACGAGAAAAACTGTTAAATAAAGTGTCGCTCAAAGCATGGGACCCAGATGGTCATCCGTTCTCTATGCATTTGTTCACGCACGATAGGTTAGTGAAACCACTTGTTATTCCGACAGTTCCTAAGAAAGATGTAGACTTCATTCGTCAACATAATCTTCCCGTCTATCTAAGTAAGAACGAATTAGAGGTGAAGCCCACTATCCTACTCGGCTGTGACCAACTGTGGTCCTTAGTGAAAAACGATCAACGGCACGTCACACTTCCCTCTGGGTTGCATCTTTTACCAACTCGCTTGGGTCACCTGATAACAAGAAGTGCCAGTAATCCTTCACAGTCAGCAAAAGAACCTGCAAATGGTAAAACTAATACTGGCCGTACACTGAATGTTAAAAAAGGGAAACGCAATCCGGTAAAATTCGCAAGAATCGAAGAACACATAAATTCCGAAACCCTAATGCACAATGAACGTATTCCAACACATGAAGCAAACAAAGAGAAGAAAGGAAAGAAAAGAAATGAAGAGAACTTAGAACAAACAACAGGTCATCAAGATGTAATTCATTCACACACTGACTGCAGCACATTAGAAACGCAGTTGAGCGAGATTTCTGTATTAGATGACAACTGGGAAATGTTCTGTGCGTTGGAAGCGGCCGGAGCGGAAGAATTTACGAATTTCGAGTCAAACGACAAGTCCACATTTAATGCATTGATGCAGGAGAATATCCCTAAACACTTAAACAGCTTCGAAATCATTAAACCAGGTGGAGCGCCGCATAGTGAAAGTTTAGCTAATCGCATTCTAGCCAAACACACCAGCACAGAAGCAACAGGCGCATACTTTGTTGCGGATATGGAGTGGCAATCACAACGGTCCTGGCTCTCCTCAATGCTTACGAAAGAAGCCCCCTTGGCGCGATAAACCACACAATCATGTCATTCGACCGCCACGAATTCTCAGAAGCAAAAGGATGAAAAAGACATCCAGTTAAGAGGCGGAAGTGTCGATGAGGTCGACCAATTATTAAGGTAAATGTAGTAGATCACTCATTATACGACGCTCCTTTTATTCACGTTTTTAGCGTTATGTGTTTCAGATTCCTCTTAAACCTTTGCGTAATGCAAAAATCTTGGTTTCAAATAGCTAACAAAATTTCGTCTTGGCCCCTAAATAAGCCGGGTGCGTGTATAGAGAACTTCTCACTTGAAAAGTTCTCTATCTATCTAAATAATAGTATTTGAAGTCCAAATATGGCTGCCTCGCAGCCGCACATCAAACACCGCAATGTAACCTTTGTAATCTTCTCGATCAATTATGTTCAGTGCTTCAGGTACAATAGCGATTCAGGTTTGACTTCAGTAGCACAGCGACGATGGCTTATCCGAAGGAGGCGTAACAGTGAAACAGTTTACTACTTCCTTGCGAAACAACGAAGCTAATGACGTTTGATGTTTCAGGCAGTTAGGTACAGTCTATTGCGGTCCAGGATCAACAATCCAGATTAACCGCGGTTGCATACGCACGTGGCTCCCGCAGCCGTTAAAAGCCAGGTGCCTTCGACGGCGGAGACATGCAGTATTGAGATAGCACGAGCTTTGCTAGAAAGGATTCTAGTCGGCTATTAATTCAGCGCCTTCGCCTTCTTCAAATCCGCCTTGATCTGAGTCAATGGTCCACAGCCGGTGATCCTTCTATGTTGCTAATCGTAGTCCTGGCTCCTTGTTCCAGATAAGAGACACCGATGTCGACGAAAAAAGAGGCCTAACCGAACTCTAGGATTTCCTTTCAGTTATCTAAATTGTTGCAGCACTTCGTAACCGCATCGAGTCGACTTTTCTTGGGTGAAAGGTCGCTCGAAAGAAATAACCTGATTCGCACGGGAGGCTGGTTTTTGGCAATCGACTGGATCACGAATCTGAAGAATGCGAAGAAATCGAAAGCTTAGCCAAATAATGCCTTTTTAAAAACCTCGTCTTAGCTCAACAATTTAAGAAAACAGGAAACTCCACGTTTAGGTTGACAAGGTAGTGTGAAAAATAGAACAATTGAGGGTTAAGGAAAGGACGAATTTGGAAAATGAGCGATTGTGGTCGTGTTACCGGAATTGGTCGTCATTAAATACCTAGGCAAAGAGCCAGACTGGCATGGATCCAAATTTTTTGCTACTCTCGATCGTCAATCTATTCATTGCTTGATTTATTGTAATAAAAGTGCACATAGAAAAAAAATGTGCAAATTGGTGTGATGGATGAAATGAATGACCAATGAAAAGCCTCGTACGGATGATACTGTCGGGCACAAAAGAAACAACTAAGTCCTGCAAGACGAAGGCTATCGTGCACAGTCCATGTTACTAGTCTTGACAACGCATTTAGCCACCACTTATGAAATACAGACTATTTTGTACTGTACGTATTTTCACCCTTTATTTCACTATACCAGCGTATCTCCTTCACAGAGGCATCTCTTGTCGATTACTCGCAAGGCAACGTGACGCATCCCCAGGTGGCATATAAAGGTTAATCGCTGACAAAAAGCGACCTTTGCTTCCCTGAGACGCAGGTGGAACCAGGGGATGGACTCCCTGTTTCTACTGCACTGATTTGGCACATACTTTCTGTATTTGAGAGGCGTATTCATACATGCGTGTGCGGGTGAGTTCTTGCTTATGCAGATTGTATTCTAGGACTCAATTCGGCCAAAAGCCTGCAATCAAGTGATAGGGAAGTATATGGAAGGCGGTTAGGAGTCGCCTCCAACAAGTAAGCTCTTCGTGCATTATGGGAGATACTGGTAAGCTACTCCTGAGCATAGCCAACCTTACACTCACAGCTGAGAACGTCATGCGAATATTGGAATGGGACAATATGAGAGTGAAAATCGAATGTCGGCGATTACACGATCTTTGCTTTGCTAGTTACATCGTTTTTACAACACCAAGTATTAGACCGTTTTCTTTTGTTGTTGTTCTTGCTGTTATTTGTTTATTTTCGTTGTCGGTTGTGTGTTGTTGTTGCTTGTCGGTGTGGTGTTGTTTTTGTCGTTGTTCGGTGGCTGACGTTCCGGCAACCTTGTCTTTCTCAGAACCTATACGTATTTAATGCGGCAGTACTCTTACCATTATACCAACGTCACATCAGCTCAATAAGGGTGTTCGTAAGAACATAGACATATAGAAATAAAGCTGTTGTGTACTTCAGAACATTTATCGCCCAACTCTATAACAAGGTTGGAACCCAGCTACAACTGTAGTCGCTACCGTTTTGAAAGGAAATATTCCTATTTGAAGCAAGGTTTTTGCCTATGTCCTGTTTCACTTCGGAGAAAATCTTCGCAAACCCTTCTTCACCATTGGCTTTCGATCCCTCGCTGCATTCACTCGCGTCTGCAAAACCTTGTAGTCGGCTTAATTCTATAAAAACGACAGCTTTCTCAAAAGGGATCCTCTTAAACACTCCGGTTAATCACGAGAACCCAAACAAAGCTTCTCACAGAGCAAGGAATTGATGGGAACAAATGGTTACTTGCGAAGAACCACGAGATGTTCTACTTTATTATATATTATAACTGTGATCATTTAAAAACAAACCGATTTAAAACAAAACGTCAGCAATGTCAAAAAGGACGCAATTCTCAACAACAACAAAAAAAAAAATGAAGGACAAAGAGGAATGTGGAGAACACGCGGTTTCATTGAGCAACTGATTTTTCAGTTTTTTTGTTTTGCGCTACAGATAAATCTTCATAGCGTGCTACTTGTAAGTCTTCAGAGCGAAGGAATACACTTGGGATATCCTGCCCGTAGAAGATCTTGTTATTCCTGGCAATAGCTTCGATTCGCTTCAGCTCCAGATACTGCCTGAATGTTGCGTTATTTGCTGCTTCGAATTCCAAAACTATGAAAATTTGGTAGAAATGATACATAAGGTAACGATTTTTTAAAAGAGGAGTTTTAGAATTAAGCTTTTGCCCTGGAACTGTCTTAACTTTTATTTACTGCTCATTCTTTTTTCATGGCAGGACTGCAGGACTGAGGATATTATTCCTACACCGTGAAAAGAGAACTAACGTATCGGTGTTCGGAAGGATGTAAACTGATAAATACTTGGATGACCCATCCCCACTGGTTGTGCGCGACACAGCGTAACCTCCAATTTTTTGAAAATTTGCTGGTTAAGGCATTGTGGTTCCCTGAAATCCCGAGGTCAACTTGGCCAAAGTCTGCCCCAGGTCTTCACCACGACAGGCAGTTGCAGCCCTTGTGGATCGGAGGGAGATTTGCCACCATGCGATTAGTTTGATACCAGGGCGGTGGTGGATCCTGGTATTTGTTTACTCTTAGCTAGGCTTCCTGATGAAAACGCCGAACTCCTTCTCAGCTTGGAAGACCCTGCCAGAGGGATGAATCTCCCGCTGTACATCGCGGTCCGACACCCAAGAAGACCTCCCAGCCACGATGAGGCGGTAAACCGTTGGAAGGTATCGGAACATCGGACCTTGTGAAATTTGACAAAGTTTCCTGCCTTGGTTATTAATAACCATCATTTCTTTGACCAACAAACAACCTGGATTAGGCACTCAAAATTAAGGGAAAAAACCGGATTAGTATCACATTCAAAAGTCATTATCACCAACGTATAAAACAATAAACAAGATGAAATTTGAGTTCGGTTTGGAAAACCTTCTAGTGAAAACCACACAGACTGCAATGCAGTCATGAACATAGATGCCAAGAATGATCTCGGTAAAAGGTCTACAAACACCATATCAACGCCTACAAATTGGAAGAAAAGTACCCATAATAGCTCACATGGCCAAAAACCTCTTACTGACGCTGACCTGAGAATGAAGAGTAACACAGTGAAAATAAGCATACTTAACTAAAGTTTAGTGCAAGCATACACCTGCGGTGCGGAGTTTTGCAAATATCTCATCATTACATACGAGTTATATTTCGCAACATACTCTGCAATTAAAAAGAAAAAGGCAGTAAATAAAAAGGTTAAAACTACACTCTCTCTGTCATACGAAATCCTGTTAAGAATTTGCGAAGCTTAGCCATTGCGAGCGCTAAGCACACTGATCTAATCATTTATGACTTGTTAATTTAATTTAGTGTAAAAGTACCCTATGAAATAATTGTAATTTAAGTTTCCAAAGTCGGTATACGCCACTTTCTTTCCGTTGTGTGCTATTCAATAAACTTTATGCCTATTCCCATTTGTAAGCTCCATACCAAAACAATTAACGAGGCAACATTACCATTAAGAGTAATTTTATAAAAAATCTGATAACAAATTTGTTGGCATCAACTAAGGTTGGGCAAAATGTATTCACTGAGACAACCAAAGAACGACCTCAGAGACGACCTAGCCATTCTGCGTGGAAACAACCTCTGGCTTCATAATCCAATTGGTTTCTGACCACAAATCGTTTCCAAACATTTAGCACACATCGGTCGACGTGCACACCATACAATCATATGCGGCGCACCGACTGGCCGGTGTGACCTGCATGGGATGGTCTTCATTTTGACGACTTCCTTTAACACACAGAACCCATCTCCATTACTTCTTGTAATCAACCCACAACTTTAATCAACTTACCTAACACAGATGTTGTAACGATTCAGCCGGGAACAATTCTATTCTGCACTTAGAAATACAAAAAAAAACATTTCCTCGAGCAAGTTCATTGACTAGTTATTTTACTATTTCAATCCTAAGCGCTGTAATGATTCACAGTAATCGTATGAAATATGTGAATATAAAAATACAGAATTAACTGAAACACTGAAATAGTGCAAGTTTCAAGCGACTTTCAAATAATAAAAGCTGTTGCTGAGATATTTGCAAAACTCTGGACCGCAGGTGTCTATGGTGAGGAACGAACGCGCTATTTCTATCGATCTTTGCCACAACAATCACCCGTCAACGAGAAATAGCTGAAAGACAGGCGAAACAAAGGACCCGCATGGTGTGGTGGTGAACGCGTTACTCCCCAGAAAGGACAATAGCGCGTTCGTTCCCCACTATAGACACCTGCGGTCCAGAGTTTTGCAAATATCTCAGCAACGTTGTGGTTGTACTTCGCTTAGTACCCTGCCGCGAAATTATAATAGGCAGAAAATAAAAAGGTATAATAGAAGCTGTGTTTACATGATGAATCAATGTCATACATAGTAGATAGTAACGTATATAACATTAACACCCATAGAACCATACAGCAAAGTCTCTTCTACAATGCTGTCATGTTCACTGCTCCAAAACTCCTCTTGTTACGAAAGAACTACCGTCTATTCTCAGAAAACTAGCACGAAGATGAAAAGGACAAAACTCTCGGCATTGATCAATCCCTAAGGGATACGACATGCATTCGACCTCATTAAGTATTCTTTCTTTGATGAGCTTACACGAGGTTGATAATGATGTTTATTTTCGGCTAACGTTTCGACGTCTTCGTCTTCCTCAGAGCCGATGATCCGAGTCCATGGTCCTCGCTTGTTATTCGCCTCGACCTGGCAGCTTCGACTTCGTGTCGAGTTAGGTCTTCTTCAGTGAGCCATCTCCTCGAATGAGGCATCCTTACTCAGTGATGCCCTTTTATACACGATGCTGATGGTCGATATAATGATAATGTCCGGTGATAACAACTTGTTTTTCTTCCGGACATACATCATCATTAAGTATCGTTAAAAGCGATAGGATGCATATCTAGCCTTTACAAAGAGTCGCGATGGCCTACCGATGTATCGAGCCAGTACTGCTATCCTCCCAGACACGTCTGGTGTCAATCTGCCGAACCTAAAAGGATGGAAGGCTTGTTGAGCCTGTGAAGCGGGGATCGGCCACATGTGTTTTGCAGAGCGTCCTGACCACTGCTCTACAAGCGCTCCAGCTAAGCGCCCTCCAACAACGCAAAATTAGACACCATCTTATGCAAAAAGGACACTAAGAACTGCTCACCGTCATGTGTAGATATTACTTTTCCAATTCCGCCGAAAATACTTGTCGACAAGCCTTTTATTCATGTATTACGTCACTAACATGGCTAGATGTATTATCTATTGCCCTTCTACAGTAACATATAAACGAAAGTTAATCATACCACTTAAACTGCTGGAATAATCACTTTCGAAACTATTCGAGTAGAAACCACATGTTGAATCTTAAACACTTGTTTGGAAAAAATTTGGTTGGTTTCCCAGTTGATAAACACGAATCTCAAGATTAAAGTTTGTTCATTAGCTCTTCTACAGAATATACCACAGGGAAATAAAATACCGTGTTGATAAGACGACGAAAGCTGGGTTGAGGAATTTGAGAAGTATCGATGACGATGAAATAGCTGTGAAAATTCTCCAGAAAAAATAGCAAAAAATTCTTCTATTTAGAAATATAACTATATATATATAAACACACGCATAACAAATATAACTAACTCTCATATCCGAATAGTAATTTCAAACAGGTTGGGTACAAAAAATGAGAAACGCAAAACATACGGAGTGAGCAAAACTCGATTAGCCTCGGCTTCCCTTTGTATTCTGTAGAACTCAGCATCAGCTTTGGCCTTTTGAGACGCTAAATATCAAAAGTATTCGTTTTTTAAAAAATCATGAAGCAGATTTATGAAAGTAAATAACCAGAACAAACCGAGGTGACTCTCATCTTCGAGTTGGTTGATCTTTTTTTGGGTTTCCTTCTCGGAAATCGTCTGCTTTTGCATTATTGCTGCCACCTGAGCCTTCTTCTCAGCTTCTGAAAAAAAGACATAATTCAACTTCTTAGAATAAAGTACAGTAAATACCTCCGGTCAGAATTTGACTGACAAACCGATGACTGCCTTTTTCCGTTCCGTTTCTGCCTCCTTTTCAACGACCTTTTGATGTTGAGTAGCTACCAGAAGCCTCGTCTGAAAGGACCGATAGAAAGGATCAGATCAACAAAAACAATAATGGAATATTATTTGACTTCTAACTACTGCGTGTTTCAACCCATCTCAGTAATACCCACTTTCTCGGCTTCCATTTGTTCGTAGTTGTGTCGAATCGCTTCAGGGATCTTCGGTTTCGTTACGCGAACCGCTTGAACAAAAAGCCCAGGCGCCATTACTGTTAAGTCCTCTTGCAAGGCCAGTTTTAAATTTTCATCTATTTGGTCTAAAAAAATTATGACAGCCAATAACACAGAAAAGAAGAAGCGAAGCTTCAGAGGTTTTCACAAAGCACTAAGACTGAAGCCCAAAATCATGGTCCTGAAAAGCCCTAGTAAAAAACACTAAGAACATAACCAAAGGACTACTACTTACCAAACAGATCAATATAGACTTCCTGGAGGGAATGACTCGAACAGAACTGGTTCACTTCATGATGGACTTTGTTGAAAATCAGTGGTTTATCGTAGTCTACTGTGTAGTTCTTCACAATGTCATAGACTGAAACAGAAATACATAGTAAAATAAGTCTGTAAACTGTTTAACACAAAATACAAATCGCACCACTGTTAGCACTGAGGATGTTCACGACTTCAATACGGTCAAAATATATCATAACGCCTCCACTTGTTCCACAAGGAACATTTTTCGCTTCATCCGTTTGTAACGTGACCTAGATTAGTAAAATGTAGCGCTAAAAATGCTTAGGAGAACCAATCCTAAACATTCGTGGATTACTATTTCTCATGGCAGTTAGTAGACCAGATAATAATTCCATAGCCTAAGCGGAATATTCCACACAAAAGAGAAACTTAACACCACCTGGACACTCTTGTAGGACGTAACGAAAGGTACCATTAGGTGATAACCTGGAGCGCTGACCTTCGAAAGCAATGCTCCACCCTCAAATATGTTCATGTAAAGAACTTAGACCTCGAACTGGAAGCAGATACGTCATTCAAAGTACACTAGAAGTACACTATAAGAAAGCAAGAGATCCAAAAAAACAACACCTAAAACTTGAACAAATAAACATTTAGCATTTAACTCATACCTATAAAACAAAGGGATAAAATTAATAATAGAAAAAACGTACCCTGAAGTACACTCCGACATGACCTTCTTCGATATGATGCAATGAAGTGATCATAAGAACGGATGCGACGGCGAATACAGCAAGCAGTACTCCTTGCGGAACCATCTAGGATACAAGCTATGGTGTTGTTAGATACAACACCACTGACGTCGCTTCTCTGTAGATCAGATCAGGAACGAACTTTGCACGTTAATGTGAAAATTTTTAATCTCAGTTCTTCTCGTAAAAACTTTCGCGCCAATGTCCAGAAGGGCGGAAGGAAAAATCCGGATGGGTGTGGTGGTGAACACGTTAGCCCCCAGAAAAGGAAATAGCGAGTTCGACCCCACCACAGACACCTGCGGTCCAAAGTTTCGCAAACATCTCAGCATCATCATGGTTATATTTCTTACCGATGTTCTAAAATTAAATATCAGTCCAAACGCGACAACTTTCAAAGGCTGGAATCTCAGATGTTAAGACAGCTGCTTCGACAAGTCTACTTCTACGAATTCAAACTCGCAAGTAAAACAAACGGCATGGAATATTGAAGAGGCATGAGATCACAGAAATGTTAAGGAATGCGCAGTGCCACGTTAGCTGCAAAACCGTCGTCCTGGCGAATTCGACCTAGAGCTTAGTGAACTTTGCCGGTGTCCTTCAGCCAGTGACACGATGGTTAAAGCCTGATTGAAGCAACATACATGAAAAACTGTTCGAAAATTTCCAGAAGAACTCGATGAAAGTGTGTCAACAGTTTCGCAACATCTAAAGAAACTTGGAAAGTCGAACCAAGAAAAATGACGAATGAATGTCTTACGTGGCACGCTGCCATTCGTCTTCTAACGTGTGACCCATCTCGCCTACCAACGACTACTACCAACTGCTCCAAGCATCTCGACACCTTCCTGGGTCAGCGCAATGCTTCACAAACCAAATCGTCGAGATCGAAACTGCCTTAAACAAATTCTTCGCTCCCCAAAACATCGTTTTAAGAGCAATCGGAAGACTACACAAAGTTATTTCCACTTGGTAAAAATGTCCGCATTCTGATAAGTCTTCCTTCGACTAACAAAGTTTATGCTGAGTTGAGATAATGTACTTTATGGGTCGTGCATTCATCTACAAACAACACAACAATGAACACATTTCGGCAAACCCCTAAAAGCACTTTATACTTCAAAGCTGGCAAAAGTAAAGTAGTAAGACTGATGGAACCTTTTCAGTATATCAAACTGGCCAGTATAAAAGCACCTTTATTCACATAAAGACTAGGTAAGCACAGTAACATTTTGAGAAATGGGCTTGAAATAGATTTAGTTCACAACACTGGAAGAGGAACTGGTACTGTTCGACAACTATCTTCAATAAGTACTGCCATATACCCTGTACTATTTCCAACACTATGCTACACTCTCCTACACTAAACTTCCCTGTACTTCTCAACATTTCTTTAGAAGAACTTCTAAGACTTTGTATTTCCAACAGTATTAAAGAATTGATAGAACAGATCTGTCGGAAGATGAATAAAAATCTGAAATGAATGGGTTCTACTTGATTTTCGCTACACTAAGTTCTTTATTCATTGAAGCAACCACTGCTACGATTGCTATATGGGTAAAGAAGAAAGGAACGAAGCACTCGTATCCAATGACATCAATCAGATAAGCCAATGGAGAGCCAGCAAGCACAGAACCAACTGAAACATAGAAAGTAGGGAAGGCAATGCATTATCTGAAATACTAAATCTTTTCTTATTGATAATCTAGAGCACACACATAGCTCCGAATGACTAAAATATTGGTGCTCACAACTAGCTAGGAACGAAACAAGTGAAGAAATTGATCCTGAGATCCTGCTTTCACCCATCCTCGAAGCTGTCATGCACCAAATATTGATGGAAGCATTTACGAAAGCGCCGAGAAGCCAACCAACAATGAACACGTACCGCTGAAAAAAAAAACACCACAATGGTAGAGGAAAAATACGTGCCCAAAAACAGAACTTGGATCCGTCAAAGTTTCATGACATTTACTTAGATACTTGGATAGCCCATTTCCACTGGTTCTGCTGGCCCCAAAATAAAATCTAATTTCTCGGAGTTTTGCTGGTTTAGCCACTGTGGTCCCTAGAGCTCCGAGGTCACCCTAGCTAGGCAATGTCTGCCCCAGGTCGTCAGCATCACAGGAAATCGCGGCCTTTGTGGATCAGAGGGAGGTTTGCCACCACGCGACTAGTTTGATACCAAGACGGTGGTGGATCCTAGTATTGGTTTACTCTTAGCAAGGCTTTCTTGTAGAATCGCAGGACTCCTTCTCAGCTTGGGAGACACTGCTGGGGGATGGATCCCCCGTTGCAAATCACAGTCTGAAACCCAGCAACACCTCACGACTGGGGTAAGGCGATAAACCGTTTGAAGTTTCATGATACTACAATAAAAATCTTCAAAAGGACACTATGACAAACCACAGCTTTAACACTGAATGCAGCTACTAGCAACAGCAAAATGCTACTTCCCATTCCAACTAGACGACAAGCTGAATCCATGGTTATGTGAAGAGAGAGATAATCCAACACCATACCAGAGCAAAGATTGCCCAGAACGCTGAAAGTGTAATATCTCGACCTTCGACAATTAAAAGCAGAAAACAAACTGACAAACCCTCCAATTTCGTAGGAAATTTGAAATGTTGTGTGGCTTAGACCATTTTCCACAATATAAAGAGGAATCCATGTCTCGCATATGGCTCGAACCTAAGAGGTACCAGGAATCTACACGGGAAATACCCTCAAAACTCAGTAACAAATATGATGCAAATCTCCATATACAACAAATTCACCTCTATAGAAAAGAAATACATAGTCGACACATTCCATATTGCCGGTGAGTATACAAGATTAATCATCTTTGAAATAGTCCCGTTATCTTTAGCCTGTACAAATTGCAAATCGTCTTCACGAAGAACAATGCAATGAACGACAGCGAAGGTAAAGACTGATAAACCTTAAAGGATACAGTTAGAAGAAAGGATACAGATATATCGAAAACGGTTTCTATGAGCAAAAAACATACCCATATAAATAAGAAACGAGCGCCAATAATAAACTTCCACAAAAGGTATCAATATCCCTGCCATGGCGCTACCGCAGCCAAGAATGGAGAACATCTTACCATAAGAACGACCACTATACCACTAAAAATAAATCACTTTAAGAGCGCTAGATCTTGAACTGTTAGTTGAGAACAAACCCTTGCAACAAGCTTCGTAGCTGGCACCCATGATGCACCTTGCATACAACCAGCAAACACTACGGACAGAAAAATCTGACGATACGATACGGAGAAACCTGAAGAGCATTAACTTATGTTGAGAATTTCTGTTCAACTTTCCTGCACATTTTCATGTTTGCAGTTGTCCTATAACAATGAAATACGAATTATTTGCGCTAAAGTGTGAGAATTCTAGAGTCCTCAGAATTTTCAAGAGTTCTCAGAGCCTCCCAACGGTTTACCACCTTCGTACCTTGAAAGTGTTCCTCCGAATTGGGTTGCGATGTATAACGAAGGGATTCATCCCACCAGCAGAGTCTCTCGAGTTGAGAAAGAGTCCGGCTTTTCCATCAGGAAGCCCAGCTAAAAACAGACCAATACTAGGATCCACCACCATCCTGGCATCAAATTATTGACACGGTGGCAAATCTCGTTCTGATCCACAAGGATGGCGACTCCCTCTGGTGGTGACGACCTGGGGCATACTTTGGCCAGGCTGACCTTGGGACTCCAAGGAACCACAACAGCTAAGCCAGCAAAACTCCAAAAAAATGGAAATTATACTAGGGTTCATACAACCAGTCAAGACAGGATATTCGAGTATCAATTGTCAAGTAATATGTGAGCACATCAACATAGCTACACAAAAAAAGATGAGAACGATAAAGAAACAGAAGTACAAAGCAATATACCAAAAAACAGCGACGATACCGCTATCAAGGCAAGTCCAACTGAAAGTATCCTTACTGGAGAGGTTCGATCCGAAGCGTAGCCAAATACAAGCTTTGATATCGTAAAGCAAAGCGCTTGAGCGGACACGAGCAGACCTAAGTGAATTTAGATTATTCTAGCTAACTCACATCGAGAGAAAGTTGAAAAAATCCAGAATCATCAAGAGCAAAGCTGAATATGTAAGGATTTTGATGTTTTATTAACTATCATATCATGCAGAGCAACAAATCAACTTCAACTAGTTTCTACAAAGAAGTATGCGAGTAGTGGAAACCAAAATGGAAACTATAGAAAATACATAAACAACTTCTAAGCATCAGAAGTTTCAGAAGACGTCGACATGGGACTCATCGTCGTCGGAACGGATAGGAAACTTGTGCAAATAAGGCAAACGATAAGAAACAACACGATATGAAAAAGGTATGAGGAACAATAAAAGACTAGCACAAATGTCACCACTAATGTTCTAAACTTGAACGAACAAGAAAAAGTACCTATAAAGTATAAAAATACATAATAAACCTAAAAATAAAGCCGTAATACGAAACCTGTACGATTGACAATAATGGCAGGCTATTTAGAAATCGTCGTCCTTCTTTCTTGATCTTAATAAGTCGCAAAATAGTTCGTAGAAAAGAAAGACACATCCTGAATTAGCGGCCGCCTTGATTTGGCTTGGCCACAGACCCTTGAATAAACCATAGACAGATTCTTTTCGCACCACCATCACTATCGTTCGTAACATGCCAATCTGATAATCTGAAGTTTGTCCGAAACCTATCCGTTCAAAGCCATTCATCTGCAGACGGTGTCGAACCATATCTAGTGGATACAGTACCTATAGAAAAAGAAGTGTAACTAATTCTTAAGAGATAGACAGGGAAGCAGTGACCACTTACCGTTTTCGCTACAGTTCCTGCAAGTGCGCCGCATACCAATGAACCCGTAGATTCATGATGAACGATGAACCGTGACCATCCACCAACAAAGCAGTTATAAAGAGCGAACTGTATCCCTGTGAAAGGAGCGATTTGCGCTACGCTAGGTATCCACCCACGAAAGTATCCGACGAGACCTTCTTTGCGCCAAATATGGATAAAGGCATGCGTTGTCCCTTAAAACTGCCTAGGTGAAAACATGACATTTAGCGAAATCACGGCTTACCTGTGTAAACAGCTTTCTTTGATTGTGCAACTAGTCTTGTTCGGATTACGTCGAGGGGCATTGCCGCAGTCATGGCTACACAACCAGACAAACCGCCACAGAAAAAATCCGAAAACGATCTCATAGACTGTCTATTTCCAGGTAACAGACGACCAATCTGCAATTTAGACATGATTATTACTCAAAAATCCTTCGTGTCAACAATATTCTTTCCTACTGTCTCGCTGATCAACGAGTAACTCGAGCTCAATCCAATAAAATTATTAACAGTACTTCCATCCCAACGGTTTACCGCCTCATTGTGGATGGGAGGTGTTCCTAGATATCGCGTTGATGTGTGCAACGGGGCGATTCATCCCTCCGAATGGTCTCCCAAGCTCAGGTGTCCCGCGTTTACATCAAGAAACCCAGCTAAAAGTAGACCAGTACCACGATCCAGCACCATCTTGACATCAACCTAGTCGAACGGAACAAAATCTCCCTCTGATCCAGAACGGCGGCGACTGCCTGTGGTGGTGACGACTTCGGGCAGACCTCGGCTAGGCTGATCTCGGGAGTCCAGGAAACCACAGTAGCTGAATCAGTAAAACTCCGAAAAAACGAAATCATGCAGGGGCCTGCACAACCGGTGAAGATGGAGCATCTAAGTATCCAAGTTAGTAAGTAACAGTACTTCTTATGTATTATTACCTACCTGTCGTGATAAAAATTCAAATGTCGAAAACTGTACTAATCCGTAAATGGCTGACAGTCCTTGAGCAGGTACATGACCTTTCCAGAAAGAACGTACACCTTCTTCTCGGGATATCAATCGTATCGACTGCAGCAAACCCTGATCAAATATATTGCCTTTATAGGACAGCTCAGCAACTTGATGAAAAAAAACTAAATCCTCTATATCTACATAAATTCTTTCGGAAATGATTACGAAAATGCGAATTTGAGGACCGAACCTTATATTTACCGGAACTTTGGCCATGAATGGGCTCCTCTTGGAGTTGGAAGCGTATCTTCAATACGTCCAAAGGTTGAATGATCATCCTAGTGGCGATACCGCTTGCGAGTCCAGCTTCACTTAATCAATTATACTAATTTTCGGCCAAAAAAGTTGATTCTAGCTGAACTGCAGAAAAATTCAAAGATTTAAAAAAAGGTAGTGAGAAACACTCAAAAACTCCAGAAACATGTCCAGTCTTCTAACGAAGTGCTTATGAGGAAGGGCATCACGAACCTGTATTCCGTCGAAGACAACTCCCTTCCATCAATGGGCTCCGGATTGTAACCCACCATACTCCAAGCGACGTCTCTAATTTTATTTCAACTGATCCACTAGAAGTCAAGTAACATCCTCTCTTAAGTAAAATAACCTAACAACACATCATTACACTAAAGATATTGATCGCGACAGTGATTTTACAGTCCAATCAATATTCCAATCTCATAACAAAAACACGATAAGTACAAAAATGATTAAGACGGAAAAAGCTTCCTGACCTAGGTCGAAACACTAAAGCTGAACATTTTATTACAATTATTGCAACGGACTATCGAAACGTTAAAAACTAGCATAAAACCTTCATGTAATATACAAGTACAGCTAATACCCTTCAAGAACGATGGTAAGAGTCACATACGAAACAAATCTCCATTCAAAAACATATAAATGTTACAAGACAAGATCAGATGGAGATAAAAACAGTCATATACCCTTTCACCTTGCACATAGACCATAGACGAATAACCATGATTCAATAACCATAAATACAATGTAGATTTAAAACATAAAAACTAAACCACAAGATACAACCACAATGGTGCTGAGATATTCGCAAAATATGGAGCCTAGGCTAGATCGAACCACGATTAACCTTTCCAGAGCTCGCGCGTCACATACTGAACCACGGAGGTCCTTCCTTTACGTTTCTCTGAGCTAGTGTTCTATCTAACGCTGCCATCAGCAATCCATAAGAACATAAGAGTAAACTACAAGAGTTACCAAACAGTAAAGAATGCTAATGACGTTAGCCGACGACTCAAAATCTAAGAAAAGTCCAACTCAATGTTAGACAGGAATTGTATTTGTGGAGCAGAACTTCACAGCGGAGAAAGAAACACAAACCACAGCATGGCCTTCTCTAAATCACCATAGGAAAAAGAAAGAATCGTTCACCGATGAGAGACCCAGAATCATAACCAGGATTACGACAGCAAAACACTGTGAATGCTGTTGGGAAAGAGAAAGGGCAGAATATGATGTTGTAGAAAATGTTGACCAAATAATGCACTTATTTACAATGCTGGCAATAAAGGTTCACTTCAGCTAGAAGGTAAAAAGACACTTCCATTTTTTGAACCATTGGAAACCCGTGGGCAAAACTAACCGTACCTGGAAGCCTAAGTAGCGGCAAAAAGTGGGATGAGCAAATTACTTTTCCACTGATAAACTAATACGAAGTTCACAAAAACAACCTAATTTGGCCGACTTTTCGTCGCCTTTGGCTTCTTCAGAACCGGATTGATCCGAATCGATTGTCCATAGTAGTTCCCAGATCGGGAGAAAGAACAACTGTAGACAATCGACTAGCATCGATCCGACTGTGAAGACGGTGAAGGTGCAGAAATGTAAGCCAAATAAGTTTTTTTTTTACGAAACTCAGGCTAATTCGTCAATGAAAAATACACATTGATTAGTTATCCCAAGGTTAAAAGAAGGTCCATCTCCGGAATATAGGACGCTCTGGCTGCCCATTCGATAACTTACCATAAGTGTTCTGAGTTATCACTAAGGCGCAACATTCAGCAAAAGAAGTACGACAAAATGGCTTACCAAGTTCTTCACGATTGAGGTAAATCTCTTTCTGTATTTGAGGCAACAGAATGACTGGGAGCCGTCGAAATAGCACATATATCGTATAAGAAATAAAGACGAATATAAATCGAACTAGAAATGGAAGACCGCCGGTGTCCTTGAGCTCCATCGGAAGAATTGAAAAGTACTAGTTCCTGTTGGCTTGAGACGATTCTGAAATATGGAACTTCGTTAGTACATCATTTCAACAATGCTCCTTTGATGTGACAATGCTTTACTGGCATAAACATGGCCAGAGAAACATCTCTTAACAGAGTAATCGATAGAACGATGTTAACAATGTTAATGAAAACATTCCAAATTTATGGAATATAGAAAGTATGGGAGAGTACAGCAGTGGAATACTTAAAGAGAATTTGAATAGGAAAAATAGAAGAACAGGGACATTACTGAAAACTTCACTGAACTAAACTGGAGCGCCACCATCTTCTGAGAGACTTCAGGCCTCTCCGAAAGACTCCTTGTATGCTCATCGTCTTATAAAAACAGCGAATGCTAAAAGAGATGTGCTGCTCGCTGACAGTACAAACCTGGTTAATCATTTAACTTCACTAACCTTCTGACTATCAATGAGAAAAAGGAAATAGTAGTTGGACACCCACGATTACTTTCTTGCACCATAAAAGCTAAAGGAGAAAGCATTCGGCATTGTCCCTAATCCTTGAGAAATGCGCCATGCATCTGATTTCTTCAAGCATTGCCGAAGGTAAGTGAATACAAGCCTAATCTACACAATAAACAACGGTGCCCCAACGATGTAGGAAGTCAATGATACTTTCATCCTAAACAAGTCTGATACCAATTTGCTGGTACAGGAGAGAAGTAAGGCTTGGTGAGACCAAAAGGCGAGATAGAACCAGAGAACGACCAGGTATGTAATGCAGGATACCACTAACAGCTGTGCTACACACTCCGCTTTGTTAAAGTAACATGTTTTCTTACCAAGTTAGATGTACTGCTGTCAGTACTACGAATTTGACCACTTGAAAATCATGGAACTGGGAGAAACTAACCTTAGTGGAAAGTACGGTGCTACCCAATTCATAGAACGGAGCACAAAATTGACGCTCCTGGGTTATTCCTATCGTGGATGTGGACTTTTTGAGCTAAATGGACCTTATCAGATGAAAACCTTACTGAAAGTCAAACAGTGAGAAGTTTTATCACAAGGTCATGCTATTTCAGTTCTGATTTTATATTTAACCCAGGAGGACCGTAAAGTTCTTAAGAACACATCGTGGACAAAACTGGAGGTGATGGAAACCGCCGAACAACTAGAAAGGTAGAAATCGAGCTCACGACTGGACAAGGATTCATGGAATAACGGACCCGTATATATAATCTCATGGCCGCAAAGGACATTTTGAAATTGACCGCTTACATGTCGATCTAGAACTAATAATCCAACTGCGAACGGTTTTTTGTTGTTTTTTACTTGCCTAACGCATAAAAAATCGTAAATGTCTTTCAATAACACAAGGATGCTGAGATATGAGCAAAACTAGGAACCTCAATTGGGCTTCGAACCTGAAATTACCATTTGGTGGGGCTCACATATTATCCACTGCGCCATTAAGACCCTTCCTTTGCTTTTTTCTCAGCCAGTTTTTCACTCTAACGGTACTATGAGCGGCCACCCGTCAACAGGAATGATCTGAGAAGCACAAATCGGCATTGAATCTGGTTAATTACTGAAAATACCACTAGAGTAAAAAAATTGCCGACAGAGATACGAAGCAAAAGTGCGGTGTGTAACACGTGTGCCCACGGAAAGGGTAATCACGGTTTCGAAGCCCACCCCTTATAGTTGCATTCCACAAAGTACCTTTCCAGGAAAGGAAGAATGGACAATAAATAAAGAACTAAACATTGTCTTTCAATATTTACCACCGCTACTGACAGAAACTCGAAAACAAGTATTTGAGCGCTCCAGCGAATCAAGATTTGGAGGACGGAAAGCATTGTCATTCTATGAATGATCGTCAAGTCAATCATCGTGTTAATCAATGACGTATCCGCTTGGGACTAGTCTATCTTTGTTAACACGTAATGCTCGAAATCACTTGCGTGCCGGCCGCGTGCGGCAACGCCTAATTTTAGACCGTAACCGCGGACATGTTGAAAATCGCTCCTATTGGAATACAAGGTCGTCAGAAAATGCAAAGTCGATGAACCACATCATGATAGAAATATATTCAAGTTGTCCTCAAGCTCGTAGTCTTTCTGTGCTATCATTTAGTCATTTCCAGGATGGAATCAGTGGAGCGTCACGGAAATGGAGACGTTGTGCTAAGTTCTAGAAGAGGTTATCAAACTACTACGATTCCAAATGTGATTAAAGAAGAACATACAAGGTATTTTCACACTAAATGCAGTCGATCTGGAAAACAACTCCGTTAGACTGCTTCAAAAACTGACATGGAAGGTATGCACCATTTGGGATAAGTACCTGTTTTGTGCAAAGATTATTGATTATAAGAGAAAGTTTGACGTAAAGTATATTGATTGTATATAAGAGATGGCTCTACATCATGACTGTTGATTGTGCATTAGAAGCACAACATCTCTGTAGAAATTGTTGATTATATTGTAAAATGTGTACATGATAAAAGTTGTTAGTGTGGCTTTGATACCTGGAAGAGTTATCTGTCATTTATCACTTGGCCTCTCGCTAATCATAGTGACTTGAACAGACGCCCGAGGGATCTCCATTTATTCATGTCGCGAGCAGAAGCAGCTAATCGGATCCTGCTCGCTCTAGGGAGGGCTGGGCATCATATCTTTCTTCTAGGGTTTCCGCCAAGAACATTGATCTTCGTGTGGTCTTGCTGGTATGCGACTGAGATCCCGTGAGTCCTAGTCACTAACGACTCTCGTTCGTCACGTGTCGTTTGTGCGCATCACGTGCCCCGCCTACCAGATTTTCGACAGTTTGGCGTGCGTACATAACGACGTCATTGATGTTTGGTCGTTGACGTCGGTCCACACTTCGGATTCATTCTCCCACTTGCGTGATATGGAGGCAAAGCGGCCTACTGATGCGTACGATGAGGTAGGAGAAACTATACGGTCAAAAAGGTGGACTTGAAGCTGGGTGTTCTTCGCCCTCTTCTTTTTATCCTCAACGCTCTTTTAAGATCCACGAGCCGTTCACTACCTCCTCTTTACTTGTAGAGCCATATCCTTTTTTTGGAACCGAGGGTCATTTTTCTTCTGCACAAGTAACCAACATTTTCTTAGACCATTTGCTAGCCAGTAAAACACCGACTACTGCAGGGTGCACTGCCACCATGAAAACACTTCATGTTGGATGACAATAAATCAACGACCGTCTTGTATAAAAGGGTTCCGCTGAGTGAAGAAACCTCATCGGTGCTCCATTCAGAGAATTCGACTCGATGCGACTACGAATACTCACACT